ATCAGGGAGCTGATAAATTGAACAGCCCTTTCCTTTTCTTATCAGGCAAAATTTTAATGTCAAGATAACATTTAAGAGGTTAAATTTCATCCTGTTTCTCAGGTAAGATTTGATAGATTCACTCCAAATGAAAAAAAATCTGGAAAAACATCTACCATCTAAACGTCAAAAATGCCATCTAAATGCAAGCAAAATATCCAAAGTGGCAACACTGTTATAAACCTGTCTGATGTGACGAAGCCGAAAAAAAAGTCGATTCTCCGCTGCCTTTGTCACACTTGGTCGTCCACTGCAATGTCGGTCTTAAACTGAACCAGTGGCTTAAAACCGATTCCAGAGTCGACTGATGGTTCTCTGATAAACGTTTAGATGCCTGGCAACTTTACTTTGACTTTCTCCTGCCTGCAAACTGCCAATAGCAAAGATTCCTTTAAATTATCTATATAGGCTGTAGATTAAGTTAGAAACAATCTTTTACACAATTGTTTGTAATATGGTATGCTAGAAAGTATAAATAAAACAATGTCCTATAATCATAAGATGTTAAAACATCCTTGTATGTACCAATCGTCTTGAATCTAGTTTCGTCACCCATCTACTATGTTGAGTGCATGATGGGACATTGTGAGCTGCAGATAAGGGACGGTGATAAACATTATGTGTGGCTTTCGTTGGCACAGTAACTGCGCAATTATAGGGTGACCCATTTGTTCAGCAAGTTAAAACTGCCGATTACTTGATTCTAGAGTCTGTGAAATCATATCTTCGGAAACTATGGACAAATTTAGTGAATATGATCTCAAAATCCGAGTATGTGTTCAGATACAGATTACAGTAATAGGAAAAAACGGGAACAACGACAAAGTTTGCGTCTTAGTAGATATTATCGACTTCGCCGCCACATGTACACATAATTTAAGACTGACGAATCAGCCATGTGTACATGTGGATTGACACCTGATACAACAGATCACGTCCTTCAAGACTGCCCCAAATACATAATATCAAGACCTCCGTGTGGGTTCCGGGGCCCCATTGTGGGGAAAACAAGAATAGACCCACTGCCTCCCCAAAAGCATGTCGTAAGAGTCGACTAATTGGGGAGTTTCCTTTGAAGTCGGAGTGCATCTGCCGGAGCGGCAAGGAACCAACAGTCTGTATTCAAGAGAAGGAGATCTGTAAAACTGATGCACACGCAACACTCAGGTTCTGGAGCAGGACTGCAGTTCAGTAGTGGGCGAGCAACCAGAACCATCCGCCAGAGTTTACAGCTGGTGAACGCGAAGAAGAAGAAGAAGATAATATCAAGACAAAACTTTTGGCCAAGAGAAACACCGGTGCAAGCCAGACTTTACGGGAATCACAACAGACAGTAAAGTTCATACTAAAGACAACATTGCAGATATATGTAATCTATTGCAGGCGAACGAACGAAGAAGAATAAGTTATGATGGACCAGCAGAGCTGACAGAAGACGTACTTCTCAGTAAAACCTCAAAATTCGAGGTGGAAAAGCTCTTCCCTAATCTGGACACTCTAATCTTTGAACTGACAACATGGCTTATTCACATACTGGATACCTGGGGTTTTTTTTCCAGTGAATTGCGAACCATTGCTTCTGATGCAATAAAGAAAAACAATGTGAACATCCGGCTAATATGTGTCACAAAGACTTGAATTACAATGACCTTTTAAATTAAAGTGAGTATCTGAAACATTGCATGGCGCTCAGTGAAAATTGTGAGAAAAAGAAAGTTTTCTGAACAATGTAAAATATGTTTTCTCGAATGCTGAAATTGCACTCAAAGTGTTCATGTGCATGATGATAACAAGTTTCTTAGGAAAACGTTATTTTTCTATACTAAAACTTCTTTTTTTTTTCCAAATGTTCTTCGTAACAAAGTGGGGCAGCGTGGTTTGAACACGCTCCAACGCGTCGTCATCTGTTCTCCTTATACCTAGTGGCACACGAGGTTTCAGGGAGGACTTTCCATGCTCTCCTGTCCTGTGCAGTCTTCAGTGCAGTTTTCCATGTCAGAGATGCTGTATTCAGGTCACTTTTCATGTTGTTGTTTTTTTCCCTCTGGTATCCACGTGTGAGTTGCTTTGGCAGGCATATCAGGAATAATAGGCATTTCTATCTTCTCTTGGTTATCATAATGTCTAGAGTTTATTGGTTCGAAACAATTTAGTGTTTGAGATTGTATCTGGTCAGAAAATTTTGACAATTCTGAGTAGACATCTGTGGTGGAAGGTGGATAACTTGTCTGCATACCTTTCGGTCATTCTCCAGCACTGCGCTCCATAAAGAAGAACTGGCAAAGTGATGCTCTTGTAAAGTCGAAGTTTTGTTCCTCTGTAGTAACTGTTGGATTTCCAGATTTGCCTCATCCTTCCAAAAGCAGCTCTAGCTTTGTTCAGGCAACGCTTTAACTTATGTGCAGAGAAACTGACAACATGAAGACGACTTACCTCTAGCCAATAATGAAGCAGTTCTGTGAAAAGAAAAGCCGTAGGTGTTTGTTATACTTGAAATTCCATATAATTTTAAACTGAACCATCTAATCTATGTTTAAAATATTTAAATAAATGTTAAATATTGTTTGACCATTTACATTTCATTCATAATGGATACCATCCCACTGTGGAGTTCATGGGAATGAGAGAACTGATAAACTAGCCAGGGAAGGTGCAAATGAAGAACAACCAGTCTTTCATCAACACAAGAAAAGAATAATCAAATCTATTAAAAGGCCACCAAAGACAGTGAAGTTCATACTAGAGACAACATTGCAGATATAGATAATCATTTCAAGCGAACGAAAGATGAAGAAGAATTTATTACATAATCCCGTGACTTTAATTTAAATTCAAGTCTTTGAGGGGCCTCATTACAGTTTGAGTTTTGTATCGCATAATTTCATCGCCATGTTTTCAAGTATCTTGCATCGTTCCCACAAAGCACCGGTACATAACACAGTTCTCGACAGGAAAAGATGGAGACCTAAGGATTATATACTATTACATAATTTCACCTGCACTTTAATTCAAATTCAAGTAATCAAATACTTGAAATACTTTTCCCGCCGGAGAAGTTCTACAAGGGAGTTTCAGTTTGAGTTTTGTATCGCATAATTTCATCGCCATGTTTTCAAGTACTTTAGCAAATTTTTAAAATGCCCACAAAGCACCGTTACATAACACAGTCTCTTTCGACAGGAAAAGATGGAGACCTAAGGTTTTTGAATTTTTTGTGTGAATGATCGAGATAGAAACAAGAAGTTTATTAACCAAACTGTAAGTTGTTTGTACAAGATGGCACACATTACCTCAGCCACATATTCGAGCAGAATTAATGCAAAAATAAAATGTATCACTATTTTTGACTTTTTCTAAAGACTCATCTGTAATGAGTATTTGAAGTTTAAAGAGATATTAAGTTAAAAAAAAAAAAATTAAAATATAAATTATATATGAAATTATTCAGTCAGTGACAGTCATTCATTGTCATTGTCATTCGATTCGACATTGTTTTGTTGACTGCTGTGTTTTGTTTACAACTGTATGGTGAGTGCCAACCATTTCAAAAAGCTTAGTATATATTCTTAAGTTACCTAGCAAATCTGGAGTTTTGTTATGTATAACTATAATTATCAACCTGCACCAACTGCCTGCTTTTCTGAACATTAGCTTCATCTAAGTAGTACTCCAAGTAGTAGTACTCTAAGTAGGGTTCTCCTTGCAATAACGGTCGCTACTTACCATGGACGTTTCGACGGCCGCTTCAGCGGGAGTTCATGTCCCTCTGGAAATGCAGTGCATTACAGAGTAAATATCAGCTGACAAGAGGGAACGACACAAATGACATAATTAGGGGTAGGGTTTGGGTTAGGGTTAGGCTACTGTGAGTGAGTGGCAGCGCATGGTCTAGACGCCATGTTGAACTCACTGTGTTTTGTGATTCGTGCCTTGTAGTAGTACTCCAAGTCTAAGTAGCAGTACTCACGGCTCTCCTTGCAAAAACTCCGACGAAGCGGCCGTCGCCGTCCAAACTAGCGACCGTTATTGCAAGGAGAACCGTACTCACTCTAAGTAGTAGTACTCTAAGAGCTTTAATTTTTGTTTTGGTTCTTTCGTTTTTATTTTTTAATTTGAAATCAGATTTAATTATGTACCCAGAGATTGAGAGAGCAACGGCCAAAGCAACCACTGAAATAATTTAATGTTGACTTTGACCATATTATTTCAAAGGTTCACCCAGTTTAATTATTATAACTATTTTTATTTTATTTTGCAAGCTAATGCGCAAGCAGAAATACTTGTAGCAATTTTACAGATGCATTCTAAGAAGAGTCAGTTGGTTAAAATACTTTGCAACACTGGAATGAAATCCTGGCTCTATTTTTTAAATTTGCAGAAATCAATCAATTGATCTGCCTTCTACTTCAATATATATCCTTGCTGGTAAAACGACAGATTAGCCACACACACACGCACGCACACACACACACATATATATATATAAAAGCAAGGAACAGGACAAAAAAATATGTCTTAACCCTTTCACTCAGAGAAGCTGAAATGTATCACTTCTATTTTTCACATATACCCCATAAATGCCATTTTGTCAGCATTTACGTAGTGGCCTGTTTTTGATAGATCTAATTAAATGCTATTGGTTTTGTTTTCCTATGACACTAAACGGCAGAATTGCTTTATGATAATGGTTCTATTTGCACCTGAGAAGTATCTAGGAGAATTGGATATGAATATATTTACAACAAATTTAATGAGGTTTACATTTTCAGGATTTGTTGGTTTTAATCATAATCATAATCATCACAGAATGTGAATGTGCTTTATAAATTAATCTTAACATATTCTTTTTCTGTTCACTTTGTAAATGAAAATGTTTTAATTTTTCAGGTTTGCTTGTGTTAATCATCACAACATTTGAATGTGTAGTAGCGTCAGCTTGACTGCATTTCAATGGTACGCACATGGCAAGTCAGCGTCACCACATATCTGAGAACCGATTTCGCAGAGAGTATGACTACCACAGCAGTGACACCGACATCTCTGACGATGAACGCAAGAAAACCTGCATCAAGAAATCAAGGTATCTGCTCAGAGATAAGAGCCCAATGGCATAGTTGAGTGCATTTTTTGGGGGTCAGAGATTAGTTCCTAGAATTAAGAGGGTGTTATCCCAACTTAACTTCTGTGGTTAAGGTGTTGTGAACGCGCTTCGTAATGCTGGGTTGCTGGGTTCGATCCCAGTTGCGGACGATTTGTCCTACGTTGGTTTTGACAGTGGTAGTGAGAGCTGGCCAGTCAGAAAGCAGTGGCAAATTACTGTATGTAAAGTTTGGCTAGAAAAACCACAACAGCCAAAAATTGCTGGGATTGATTCTGTAGCGTCCTGTAAAGGATACGCGACTAACTTTTAAGTTGGCATCTGTGGCTTAGGTGTTGCGAACACACTACGTAATGCAGGGTTTGATCCCAGCTATGGACGATTTGTCTTGTGTTGGTTTCAGCAATGTTACCGAGAGCTGACCGCTCAGAAGGCAGTGGCAAACTACTGAACATAAATTTTCCTAGAAAAACCACAAGAGCCACAAAATGTTGGGGTTATTTCTGCAACATCATGGAAGAATATGTAACTAACTTTTTTTTTTCAACCACCATGGCTTCAGAGATTTTATTTCTTCTTCTGTATTCATCTAAAGATGTAACTGCATTGTGCCCATGTATGGCATGGCTGCAGTATTTGCACCTTACGGCTGAATATCCAACTTCTGACGGAATTTTCGACCAGGTTGAGCTTCCCGGTTAGTTTCTTGGGATATTGCAGTCTCATTATTGTGTGTTCGTCTTTGTTTCCTGGGTCGCAGGTGGTGCCCCATATCAGACTGGTCCCCAGAGAAACCACAAAATGCTGGACAGCCCTTGAGAAAATGCAGGGGGCAAAACTTGAGCATTCCCGGCATAATCAACCAAACAGGCACTGAAATGTGGGGGAGGGGGGTGGATTGAAGAAAGTCAAAATGTTGAGAGGCCCTGAAGTTGCTAGAATGGATTCCATGTATGATATCTAGAACAAAATATAATTGCCATTGTTTTATGGAAAATAAAGTTACCACTTATTTAGTTTTGTGGAAAATATACGTACCATTTTTTTTTTTTTAGTTTTGTGGAAATATAGTAACCATCTCTGTAGTTTTATGGAAAATATAGTAACCATTTCTGTAGTTTTATGGAAAATATAGTTACCATTCATTTAGTTTTGTGGAAATATAGTTAGCATTTTTTGTTCACGCTCATATGAAAACTGTTCCTGTGGAAGCTCATGGGCCCCATTTAAGCTGAACATGAATAAACCTGCCTATCCTTCACTTTGTCAGTGCCAAGCAGTGCCTGATGTGTGAAAGACTCTACCCACTGGTTTCCCTGCATAGCATAATGTGTTCTCTTAATTTTAACCTTTGGTTCCGGGACCCTATTGTAGGAGAAGACAAGAATAGACCCACTGCCTTCTCAACTAGCATGTCCTAAGAGTAAACTAATTAGAGGTTTTCTTCTAAATTGGAGTGTATCTGCCGGAGAGGCAAGGAGGCAAGGAACCAACAGTTTGCATAAATCAGATCTGTTAAATGGATGTCCACACAACACTCAGGTTCTGGAACAGGTCTAGAGGTGGTTAAGCAACCAGAACTTTCCTTCGGAGTTTACAGCTGGTGAACGCAAAAGGAGAATCTAACCTCGAAGCCAGTGTTTCCCATTCTTTTCTTGATCGCGGCGCCTTTTTTCAATTGAAAATTTTTCCATGGCGCCCTAACCTAAGTAAAAGTATGACTATTTATGTCTTGTTTAAATGAATTATGAAGCTTTTACAATATTTCGCGGCGCCCCTGTGAATATGTCGTGGCTCCCCAGGGCACCGTGGCGCACAGTTTTGGAACTGCATTGTAGGTTACAGTATTACTGTTCTTTGCTTGCTTTAAAGGGTCCTGTCATTACACAGGTGATAAATATGAACTGATCAAAACTTATCGGCACATTTTACCCTCCCTTTTTCAACTTTCTGTTCTTTGTTTCAGCTCCAAAAATACACCCCGCTCTAAGCCTTGCCTGGTAAACCGGACTCGATCTCAGAGTTTAGATAACACGAGCAGCAACGAAGATTGTCCATCTTGTGAAGCTCGTGCCAGTTCCAGCATGTATTCATGTTCACGGTCACAAAACTTTGATATGCCAGCTGGCCAGCAGCAGCATGCCAGTTGTGGTAATATTTGAATTGTCAATTTCTTGTTGGTCTTGGTTGTATATAGAGAACTTTGGAAAATTGTTAAATAGTCGCAAATGTTGAAACAGTTTTTTTAATGCAGATTGGTGAGTTCTGTTTATCTATGATTTATTTCATGTCAGATTTAACCCAGGTTTACAATATCTATCATGGATTCAATGCCAAAGGGTTGAGATATCCATAGTACCGAGCCAAAGGGTTTACAACTCGCTTCTGGATATTTTAAAAAACCACTTGAATGTCATATGGTATTAATTGAAAAAAAAAATTTGGTTTACTAAGCATTCTGTTTCAAACAAAATTGTGGATTGATTATATCGGGTATGTTAAACATGTGGTCCTTTGTACACTTACAGCCCACACAAAGGATACACAAGCATAATGATACATCAGTTGGTTGTCGTGTGTTGCCTTCAAGACAACACAGATGTGACCCATAAGGCCCTGGATTAGATGATATTAAGAAAAGCAACAACTTGTGATCTGAGCATGCACAAACAGTTTTGGAAATTCATAGATTTGTCCGCAGTTTTACAAGCCAAGACAAAATTAACACTTTGTCGGCAACATCATGTGGTAACCCATGCTGTAACATTTGGTTTTCTAACTTGGCATTTGAAACAGAATTCGAATGCAGTCAGGTCAGTTTCACTTATAAAATAATACATACAGGCAACTTTATCTTTGATGCAAAATAAAGACATTTAATTTTAAAAAAAAAAGAAAAAGAAAAGTGAAATAAAAATGGAACTCAGTTTAAGTAGGATGGAGTGTAAGGAAATGTAACCTGATTGCGGAAGGTCAAAATATGACAAAACTTAACAATAAAGAAATGATGTGTTAACAAAATTTTTTTGAAATATGTGGTCGTTAGACACATGAAAATGTACAATGAAAGGAGACAATATAAGGTGTCTCAGGTACCTTATTCTAGTGTTCAGAAATGTTATTGAAGCACAAAACTCGATGGCCCCTTGGTGATCATCAAAAGGTCTGCACTCACAGAAGTCCGAAATGAATCACATGGCCATCAGATTATGAGCCAGCTGCTTAACTACTTCACCATAGATACCTCTATTATCTGAATGGCAGTATAAACATTTAAAATTGAAGATGTTCCCACAGAAGATACTGCTTTTGGGTTGTGGTTTTTATATATTCTAGTGGATTTCAACCTGAAAAAAAGGGGGGGGGGGGACAAGAAAGTTTCAAGGCAGGCGTCCAGCAATTTGGAAATTAATTTCATTTGTACTTGTAACAGTCAAGTTTAAATTTTAAATGAAATATTCTTAAAAACTATTTATAAAACAAAAAGCTAAGAACATTTGTGTTTTTATGAGCAGTTTGTACATCTACCTTAATAATCTAATTAATACAATAACACATGCATTTAATTATCGATTGAGAACACATTCTGGCCAAAACATGTCTCCATTCTTTCCATTTTCACAAGGTTTTAATCATTTTTGATTTGGATTTTTCTTTTTCTCCGCCTTTGTAGTCCATTTTGTTTTGTTAAAGTTGGGCAGCATGTGGGAATTAGCCATATATTCTAGGAGGTGCCACCTGAATGAAAAAAAAAGGGTTGAAAATCTATGTTCTAGTTTATGAGATGAGTTAAGCAGTTCTCTTTCTTCTTGCCCTAACCAAAATGAAAAATTGATTTCTGTCAGGTAATTTATCCACTCAGTTAAATACCTGTGTCATATTTTATTTATCCACTCACTTAAATACCTGTGTCATATTTTATTTATCCACTCACTTAAATACCTGTGTCATATTTTATTTATCCACTCACTTAAATACCTGTGTCATATTTTATTTATCCACTCACTTAAATACCTGTGTCATATTTTATTTATCCACTCACTTAAATACCTGTGTCATATTTTATTTATCCACTCAGTTACATACCATATGTTATTTATCCACTCACTTATTGTGTTTTTTATTTATCCACTCAGTTACATACTTAATTTATACCTGTTGTCATATTTTATTTATCCACTATCCACTCACTTAAATACCTGTGTCATATTTTATTTATCCACTCACTTAAATACCTGTGTCATATTTTATTTATCCACTCAGTTACATACCTGTGTCATATTTTATTTATCCACTCACTTAAATACTTGTGTCATATTTTATTTATCCACTCACTTAAATACCTGTGTCATATTTTATTTATCCACTCACTTAAATACCTGTGTCATATTTTATTTATCCACTCAGTTACATACCTGTGTCATATTTTATTTATCCACTCAGTTAAATACCTGTGTCATATTTTATTTATCCACTCACTTAAATACCTGTGTCATATTTTATTTATCCACTTTATTTATCCACTCACTTAAATACCTGTGTCATATTTTATTTATCCACTCACTTAAATACTTGTGTCATATTTTATTTATCCACTCACTTAAATACCTGTGTCATATTTTATTTATCCACTCACTTAAATACCTGTGTCATATTTTATTTATCCAATCAATTAAATACTTGTGTCATATTTTATTTATCCACTCACTTAAATACCTGTGTCATATTTTATTTATCCACTCACTTAACCTGTGTCATACCACTGTACCTGTGTCATATTTTATTTATCCACTCACTTAAATACCTGTGTCATATTTTATTTATCCACTCAGTTACATACCTGTGTCATATTTTATTTATCCACTCAGTTACATACCTGTGTCATATTTTATTTATCCACTCACTTAAATACCTGTGTCATATTTTATTTATCCACTCACTTAAATACCTGTGTCATATTTTATTTATCCACTCACTTAAATACCTGTGTCATATTTTATTTATCCACTCAGTTAAATACCTGTGTCATATTTTCCATTTATACCTGTGTCATATTTTATTTATCCACTCAGTTACATACCTGTGTCATATTTTATTTATCCACTCACTTAAATACCTGTGTCATATTTTATTTATCCACTCACTTAAATACTTGTGTCATATTTTATTTATCCACTCACTTAAATACCTGTGTCATATTTTATTTATCCACTCACTTAAATACTTGTGTCATATTTTATTTATCCAATCTGTTCCGTCAGCGGCCAGAAACTATGTTGGGCAGGTAAGAGTGTTAAGTCATGTTACATTTGTTGTGTTGTTCCACGCTAAAACATCAAAGCTCCCTTCCATGGTTAAAAGTACATCTGATATCTGGTGCCAATCCTATACAGGATCTCCTGTAATTATGACTTGAGCCACTTCCCACTAACAGGTCGTAAGTCGAACTGGTCTAAGTTAAATATGTATTTGTCAACACTACTTCCATTCAGACCGGTTATACAGATTGTACATAAAACACAGATAATGGGAGGCCTGCGTTTCCAGTCAATCTGCCATGCATGGTGGGGTCAAAAATACCTTTTTTTGCGGTTGTACGTCACATGGGTCATAAGTTTAGAAGAAAGTGTATTTTCATAAACAAATCAGCATTCAGCAGATGTTAGGGTCAGCATCAGATTGGTTGTCTTTGATTTATCTGGTACTCATTTCAGACTGCATCTGAGCCAAGATAAAAAAAAAATCTTCCTGTGTTATTGTGATGCTACAGGCATGTAACCAGATCTACTAGCCTTCCAAAAACATTACTACATGGCTTGTTAGAAGGGGAAAATGGAGAACAAGCAGACTAAGAAAGACCTGGATATGCAGTTAGGCTGACTGGACAAGCCTCAGACATGCAAACACCAAGTCCGACAGAGGTGGAGGAAACTGATCAGACAGTCAGCAGCAGCTGGTGACCTAGAGACACCCAGTGTTATGGGGTGTCAGTTGAAACATGATTACTGGAGCTGTAGGCATGTGTAGTAATCACTACACTAATGAGATTTCCTTGTTTCACACAAAAGAACTCAACAGCAGTTGTGTTGTTCCAAGTAAAGTATCAATATCCTTGTATTGGGGGGGGGGGGGGTGCTGTGTATGCATGTGAGCTTTTTTTTTTTCCTCAACATTGTGATTCTTTTTTTTTTCTCACATTCACCGCCTGTAAAAATTTCAAGTTGTTTGTCCACTGGTTTTTAGTCTGGTTCCAGAACCTGAGTGTTGCATGCACATCAGTTTTACAGATCTGATTCATGTGTATGCAGACTGTTGGTTTCTTGCCTCTTAGGCAGATGCACCTCACTTTAAAGTAAGCTTCTAGGTAGCCAGTGGGTCTGTTCATATTTTACCCCCACAATGGATCCCAGAACCCACACAGGGAACATGGTGATTCAGAAATTCAGACCTTATGTGCGTTTAAATACAGTTGAACAGTTAGAATTCCAGTAATGATTTCATATACTACAGATTCCACACTCTCCAAATGCACATTTTAGGAGCCATACTTGTAGTTCAGTTTGAAATTATCACTCTTTCAGAATGTTCACAACATCGCTGGAGCATAACTTCACTAGACCTAATGAAAGAGGGGAATATGAAGTTGCTGATGGTATCTCAGCCACTGTTTTCCGAGCCATCTTGGTAATATTCAGATTTTCTACACAGCATTTTATCTCTTGTATTCTCATGGCATATAAGAAAATCAGTGAAAAGTATTACTATAACCTCCCAAGTTTGTCATAAAAAACATAGCAAAAGGCCCATGTATTGGGAATTCCCCAAACAAAACCCTTGTATCCAGGCTGTTGGTTCCTCACCTCTCGTGTTGTGCAGAGCACTTCTAACTTTGTACAAAATACTCCTCTTAGAACATGCATGTTCTTCACCCCCCCCCCCCCCCTCCCAGGAATCAACATGGGGACATTTGTATTTGATTGCTATATATTGAATAGCTTTGCTGGGATGGTACAGACATAACTTAGAGTAGTTTGCATCACATGGCAGAACTCAGATCAGAAGCTTATGGGGGATTTTCTGTCCAGGAGATATAGCGTGTGTGGAGAAATGAGAAAGCTGATAGACTAGTTGATGCTGCACCCATAGACAGTGATCTGTTTCATGGTAAAACAGTTTAATGAAAGTTGTTTGGGGGTCAGTGGCGTAGGGCGGCAGAGCATCAATATCTCGTGAGATACTGATTAAGGGGGAATGTGCAGAAGCCTGACTATATTCAAACCATAGCTCTTCAGTGGATGGCAGATGGAAAAAAAAATAGATGTTGACGACCTAAAGAAACCTGGAGAAGGACAATAGAAAGGCAAATGGATTGTAAAGTAACATAGAATACCATGGGCAGAAAAGATTCAGACTGGCGGCGGAGATCACTTGTGAATATCTTATGTGTCACCTGCATAACGAAGAGCGTAAGAGTGGATAGATATCGAAACCATATAGGAAAAGATAAGCAGACTTTCACAGTTTGTTATTAGCTAGTATCATCATGGATGGAAACTCTTAGTCAGTGAGGAAGATGAACGGAGGAGTGCAGATGGATGTGTCCTCGGTGCTGTGATATTCTAGACTGATTCATTCATTATAAATCTCTTCAGGATTACTACAAGACTGGAGTAGTTCGGTGTCCTCCTTCTGTTCCAGTGCATGAGTTGAGAGAGGCATGTGACTATTTGCTGGTGCCATTTGATGCCTCCACTGTTCGCTGCCAAAACTTGCGTGAGTCGTTCTGTTGAGCTACTACATTTGCTGTCTTCTTCTTCTTCTTCTGGGTCACCCTTAAAAGGGCGGTTAATGTGTTATTGGTTTATAGCTTGGCTGCAATATTTGTCCCCTTTAGCCCAAGACATCAGATTTCAGCACATTGGCTGCAATATTTGTCCCCTTTAGCCCAAGACATCCGATTTCAGCAGATTAACTGCAATATTTGTCCCCTTCAGCCCAAGACATCCGATTTCAGCAGATTGGCTGCAGTATTTGTCCCCTTCAGCCCAAGATATCAGATTTCAGCAGATTGGCTGCAGTATTTGTCCCCTTAGCCCAAGAGATCCTATTTCAGCAGATTGGCTGCAATATTTGTCCCTTTCAGCCCAAGACATCCTATTTCAACGACACCCTTATTAAATTTTTTTTTTTTAATACATTTTTTGGGGGTGAAGAGGAGGGGGTCTACGGGTCTATTCCTGTTTCTTCCAGAATGGGGTCCCAGAACCCACATGTGCATACCTGCTGTTATAAAGAAATGGACTGCTAGAATCACATTGTTGATGTGCAAAATGTCCTTTCGGCATCTGTAGTTTGAGCATTGCAAACACGCTTTATATCTATGAAATACCTGGTGGTTTAATTCCAGCTGCATGCAGTTTGGCAGCAGATAGCTTTGTATTGATCTCGGCAATGGTATAAAGTATCGACCTCTGACAAAGCAATAAGAAACTACTGAACATAACAGTTTCTAGAAAAAGAAAAAATGAAACTGCCAAACAAATGCTGGAGCTGACAGTGATCCACTGGCTTTTTGCTTGGCCTCCTCATGCCAGATTTAGCCCCCAGGCCGCCAGTTGAGAAGCCCTCGTGTAAAGGATATAAAACTAACTATTATTATTATCTGGTTCAGCTTCGTCTCTGAACTGTAAGCAGTTCACTGACATTTTTAGAAATCACATATCAGGATGTTATGTTACTATGTTGACATCACTGCGCATTGGGCAATCCCAGTCCTCGTATATAGCAGCTAGTTCCAGTGTACTGTTTTTGTTGGGGATCGTCACCGGAGATACGGAGGTCGTGTTCTGTATGGTGCTTTTTGACACGATGCTAGCTGTTCTGCGGAGAGAGACTGAGCCATAAGGGATAAAACCTTGTGCAACGAAATTGATCCTCTTATGTTTACTTTTACTGTTTCTAGACAGAGTTGGTGATTCTAATATTGTCTGTCTTCACTGCTTTTGTTCTCTCAGCTGTGGTATGACTTATTTTTGTGTGTGTTATTGTTGTTTCTGTTGGTGACTTAAACCTAGCCTACTGACTCACTGGGTTATGTTAGCATGGGCAATTTTTAAATCATGAACTCATTCATAGTTGATGTTGGTGTGCAGCCTGGCTGTTGTTGACCTGCACCATTATGGCATAGTCATTTTTTTTTTTACATCACACTTGGACCATTTTAGCAGAAGTCGGTGTGAGGCCTTTTCAAGGAAAAGCGGTCTTGCTGATTGATCTAACTATGAGAGGATAGTTCACCCTAGATCAAGCTGTAACAACATATATTGATTGTCTGCAAAGGCATCTTGTGGTGTTACTGTTTCTGCACTGCATTGGAGAGCATTTGATGCAGGCTTCTTAGTGGGAAATAATAGAATGTAGTGCTGCCAGTTTCTGTTCATTTGCTTTTTATATGAATCTGCTTGTATGTGGCCTAAGCTTCCTGACTTTAGTCTTGTTTCAGAGTTTTGCCTGCACACCCCTTTCACAGATCTGGCTTATTTGTGTGCAGACTCCTGGTTCTTTGATTTCAAAGAAAATCCCCAGTTTATCAAGTCCGACGACATTCATGTTGGGGAGACAGTGGGTCTATTCTTGTTCTCCCCACAATGGGGCTCTAAAACCCACTTGGGGAGTATAGTTATTCAATCGTGATATTTGAATTTGTGGTTTCATAGGTGCGCCATTTGTTACAGGTGGGTTCCTGCATGAGTTGTCTAATGAGGGAGCACGAAAACAGTTTTTGCAGTACCTTGAAGATCTGCTGCTGCCTCAAATGGTGCTCTGTGCTCAGGTAAATGTTGAATGTAATGCATAGGATTAGTTGAGATCTTGCGGAACAATTATAGTCCATATGTGGTGTTATTCAGTGATCTGGTTTTTTTGAGAAAATTGAGGACGATGATGAATGAGAAGGAATGGATTTTAGAGCTTGTTGGTGATTTTCAAGATTGATGGGGAAGAAAGCAAGGGGTGGGCAAAGAGAAAAAAACCTTCTTGGATTGGCCATATGGATGGGGGCAAAACGCAAACACTGACCTGATCCGTGATCTGGTGCTGATGTGAGATAGTGAAAAAGGACTGCATATGCTTATTGGTACGACACATGATGATGATGATGACAAAGTGGTTGGAGTTTTAAAAATGTGATTGTATAGACATATTAGAAGAAAATAATGGCAGCAGAAGACAAAACAAAAAACTTCAAAAATTACGGTAAATTTTTTTTTAAACTTCTTTTTAAACTGTTGCCAAAAACAGATAAGACTGCCCGGGACAACAGCCACCTGCAGAAGTTGGATGGGTCTGCCGAAAAGCACAAATATTGCAGTAATGTGTAAACATTCACAACACATTTACATCTTCAGATGAACGCAGGAGAAGAAATATTGCCAGATTTTTTAGTATCCAAAACAGACATGGTTTTTATGAGCAACCTTTTTTGTTTCCTCAGTGTGAAATCTTATAGAAAATCAGTAATTTTCTGTTACATCAACTTTTTTATAGCAATTATTCTGTAGTAATAGTAGAAAATATATTGAAACAGTTATTTTTGTTGATAGAGAGGTGACAGGGAGTGCCATATTGTGGTGCTGACAGATGATGATGTCATTGACTGGGACGAGGACTATCCCCCTCAGATGGGAGATGAGTATTCTCAGAGTAAGTATCTGATTCTCTTCCACACACCAGAGATGCACTCACAGTAGTTGGCCATGAGACGTGTATTCATTTAAAAACAATTTTGATTGATTTTTTTCTTCTACAAATTCCTCTAGGCTGCTATCTGAAAGTTTGCCACCCTTAAAAAAAAAATAATATAGTAAAACAAACGTTAGTCTCCCCATTTACACAGTGTTACACACTAGCTAACTTCTGATTAGTTGACCTTCAGCCTAGCTCACTTCTGATTGGTCGACCTTTGAGCCACGTTACCTTGCCACAGGGTTATGGGGGGGGGGGGGTCGCAATGCCGTTGATATCGTGTGTTGTATAATTCAGCACCGCAGCACTTTTAACACTCCAAAAACATCGACAAACTGGGTCTAACTCAAAACCCCTTTAAAGAGTGATGAAGCCTATGTCACAGGCATTCTCTTTCTCGGGATAAAAACGTAAATGCATGTCAACCCAGAAAGCAAAAAAAAAAGAGTGGAACGCCCGTAACCTGCAGGAAGGTAGACCAGCTCAACAAATTTATGAATGGAACATGGCCTACTTTGTTTGGGGAGACTAACGTTTGTTTAACCAAAAATCTCAGTCTGGACAGCTGAGCAACAAGGCAGATGCCAGATGATCCATTCAACCTGTAAAGAAGTTATAATTAGGGCACCTGGTAGCCATCTTAGGCTGGCAGCCATTGTCACTTTTTAAATCTGCATGGTATGGCATGGATTCGAACCGACCCTCTTCAGTTCAAATAGTGAGCATCTAGCCGCTATACTACTGCAACTCCTACACCATAATATACTTCTCTAGCTCTGGACTTTGGTCTTGTTCCAGATTTTGAGTTGTGCATGCATGGGGATCAAGTGCCGTCAGTCATTTGTTGTATTTGCAACAATGACATCTCCAGATCTACTAACTATGTAAAACTGATGAATGTCAGCACATTGGTAACTCAGCAACATACATGCAAACTGTCAGTTGGTCCCTCCTTTTCCCAGCCACCGCCCACCCCTTACCCAAATATCCCAAATTCTCATCCTCGATGATTGCTGCACATAGTGTTTGTTCGCACAACAGACACCAAGGACGGGTTGCAGCACAGTTGTTCACACAGACAGTAACTTACACAGCAGTTTATGAGAAACATTTCACATGCACATCAGTTTTTCAACCCAGTGTGTGCACACACACACACACTTCAACACATTGTGTGACCACAGAATAAAGTCATGTCATAACACAACTAGAATAGTGCACTGAACTGGGGTTTCCAGGATTTTCTTTGTTAGGGGTGCCAAAAAATGATTGTTTCCAAAGCTACATACCTGATGAGACCACTGTTGGAAAGTTAAATACATAATACCCGGGAAGGCTAACCCGGTCGACAAATGCCCGCAGAAGTCGGATGTGTTGGCCGAACGGTGCTAATATCGCATCCATGCTGTAAACGGACACAACGCAATTATATCTTCGGATGAACGCAGAAAAAGAAATACATAATACACATTCTCCTCCACAATACACCTTATCCTACACTCACGACCAAACACACACACACACACAAAAATAATATTTATTTCAGGTTGTGTTATTCTTCTTCTTTGCGTTCACCAGCTGTAAACTCCGGCGGAAAGTTCTGGTTGTTTGTCCACTTCTAGACTGCAGTCCTGTTTCAAAACCTGAGTGTTGTGTGTGCATCCATTTGACAGATCTGACTCATTTGCGTGCAGACTGTTGGTTCCTTGCCTCTCAGGCAGATGCACTCCGACTTGGAAGGAAGCTCCCAAATAGTCCACTCTTACGGCATACTTTCGGGTGGGTAGTGGGTCTATTCTTGTTTTCCCTATAAAAGGGCCAGGAACCCACACGGGGAGGTTGTGTTATTGTTTACAGTATTATAATAGAGTGCTTATTATGTGTTTTAAAGCAGATCTGAAAAGAACTCATCAGGGACCCAGGAAATTGTTCTTCTTAGAAATTCCTCTTATCCAGAATAATTTCTGATAAAAAGAACAGCACACACAAATTATTCGGATAGGAGGAGTTTCTGATGAGAACAAAAATTTCTCGGTTACCTGGTGAGTTCTGGGTTAAAAATTGCTATGGGTTCATCACAACAAAAGTTTACCACATTCAAGATCACCTTAAAACCGCCTTCACTGTATTCACATTATGAACAATAGGTATATGTTCATACATTGAGTTGTGCTTGAACACTTTATGTACAATTTTTATCACCCGTTTGAATGAAAATAGGGTTGAAAAATATAAATTTGACTCAACAACCAGTTTGACTTACAACGTGTAAGTCGAAATAAAACTCGGTCGCAGAACCCCCGTAATTATATTCTTGTAGGTAAACCGCCTCAGAGGCGTCGTGATTGGGGTTTACATTTCTTTCTTCCAGTTGTCAACAGTACCTGCTTGTACAGGTTTTTCCGATACATTGAGAACAGAGATGTGGCCAAACAGGTGCTGAAGGACAGGGGCCTGAAAAAGATCTGTCTGGGTATTGAAGGGTATCCTACCTACAAGGAGAAGGTGAAAAAACGACCAGGAGGAAGAGCCGAAGGTACACTTTTTTCTTTCTCTTGTGTACTTTTATTACTAGCTTCAGACGTGCATCCTGTTTCTGGTGGTCCACTGGAGTTTTGTTTGTTTTTGTTTCGTTGGAAGAGTGGGGGCTTAATCATCGTGTAGCAAACCTTTTGCAGCAAGCTTCCATCATTATCATCATGTGTTGTGCCAATAAGCATAAGCTGCCATGATTCACCATCTCACATGATTACTGGAATTGTGGATCAGGTCAATGTTCTTGTTTTGCCCCATCCATATTGGTATTTATATATTTACCTTCCCCTTGCTCTTGGGCTTCCATTAAGGCCAAATGTAAAGATTGCATACCTTGTCAATTTCCTGCTTCATATTTTTTTTCTTGGCAAAGGTGTCTTTAATGTCCTGGGTCCACTTGTATGCTGACCAACCTTTGCCTCTTTTAGGGACCATACCCCATTGTTCTTTTTTTAAACGACTGCAGCATTTAATCCCACTGTGGGTTTCAGGGCCCCATTGGGGGGGGGGGGGCAAGAAAAGACCCACTGTCGCCCTAACAGCAGTGTTGTAAAAGGTGACTGAATAGGGGTTTGCTGAAGTTGGTGACTGAATAGGGGTTTGCTGAAGTTGGTGACTGAATAGGGGTTTGCTGAAGTTGGTGACTGAATAGGGGTTTGCTGAAGTTGGTGACTGAATAGGGGTTTGCTGAAGTTGGTGACTGAATAGGGGTTTGCTGAAGTCAGATGTGTTGAATCAAAAGCCCCTTTTGAGATTATGAGTTTTTTCTTCAGCATTATCTTGAAAATATTTGTTTATCTTTATAGGATTATCTTTAAATTATGAGTTTTTCTGTTGAAAAATCTTGAAATTATGGGGGTTATCTTTAAATTGTGAGTCGTTTTTCTGTTGAAAAATCTTGAAATTATAGGGTTTTTATGTAGGATTAATTCTACATAAAGAGTGGGTCTTCCATTAAATTGACTATATCTTCTTCTCTTCCTCTTTTACCATCTAGGTAAAGATATAAGCTCCAACTTCTTGCTGCTCTGGCCACCTCAACGATAGACACATCATGCTGTTGTAGATTTTCTCTGATGTTGATATCTTCCCATCTTGTTCTTCCTCTACCTTATATATAATAAACAAACGGGCAATGTATTGTTCGGCACTCATAGAAAGAAGTAGAAAGATAGAAGGGCACACTAGACAACATAAAAATCGAAAGCTATTGTTACCGTGCCTGGCTGTTGTTCGACCTTGTGCTCTGCCTGTTTCTCCTACTTTGGTGCATGCTTGATATGGTATGTTGTCGCAGGGTATTCTTTCTAAGTGGGCAGACCTTTTGATTTTGCTGTGTGTAGTTTACAATTGCTTCTATGCCAGCTCTTTCTCTTATGACATTAAATTATTGTGAAAATAGTCAACTTCACAGTGCCCATAGTCTTGAATGACCAGATGAATGTCGTGGCTGTGGTACCACCGCTGTTTACCCGTGAAAACAATTTTACTGAAGTTGATATTGATTCCTTCCTTGCAGTGATTTACAACTACGTGCAGAGACCTTTTATTCGGATGTCATGGGAGAAGGAGGAAAACAAGAGCAGGCACGTGGACTTCCAGTGTGTCAAATCCAAGTCTATTACCAATCTGGCACAGGCGGCTGATGAAGCTGCTCTCCACCTCCATGATCAAGGCATGCTTCAGCAGGCACAGGATGGCACTATCAATGTCATCGCTCCACAGCCTTCTCCTTCAGAGCCTTACCCAGATGTTCAGCTGCCACCTGAAGCACTGGATTGATTCTTCACGCCCGGGTCTGTTTTATTTTTAATGCGAGTAAAATCTGCGATCAAGTCCATTGTTTTCTTAAACATGGGATATACAGTGAAGCTGTTAGGTAATGATAACATGGTACTGGTGGTTGAGTTTTGCAATGATGTATTTGCTTTACTAAAGAGCTTTATGTTTGGAGTTTATTAGTTTTGTCATTTGAAAGTGTGAGGTGGTGGCTTTCTGCGACCTTTAAAATGTTGGGAGGGGTGAAAATAATCTAAAGAAAGGACAGAAGCAAGTGAAGGTATACATTTATTCTCTGCCTCAGAAATATACAGTGTAAAGTTAAGTTGCCAGGTGGTTTGCAAATATCTGAGGCAAGGAATTGTTTTACAACTCTGTATCTAAGCTGTAAGGTATTATTTCAGTGTTTTCTTTGAGAAGTCCAGTATATTACATAGATTGATAAACACTATTGACTGTTTTATCTTTTTCCATTGCAGTGCACTGTTTGCAGTTTTATTTCTGTTTTGTATGTGCATGCTTTTGTGAAGAACATTTCTCTGAACATCTTTAGATATCCATGTGTTTTGCCACATAAGACTATTTTCACTTGATTTCTGTTTACCTATGTAAGGAAAGTTCAGTTGTCTGGTGTCATGTTATTTCTGACATGTGTATGAAGTACCCATCAGACTCACTAGCGTGTATTACACACCACTTCTACACATTCATGTTGTGTGTTTAGTTTCGCTTGTGAGTGTGTTGGCCATCATGCCTACACACTCAGTTGTGTGTAGGCAGATGAACTGATATTACCCCATCATCATCTTTTGTCATCTCACTGATACCAGGTTGTAGCCCAGTGTCATGGTTTTCCTATAATTCATTATGTCTTGTGTAGTAGTGGTCAATTACACCACTGCCGGCTTGCTGGGCCCGTTGCGTGGCAGGGCAAGATCTGACCTGATTAGTGCCCATCTCCTTCCAAGCGAGCCAATGCCCCATTAGCCTGAAACCTTGCTGCTTCAATTTTTAGGCGTGCATAACTAGGAGGCGGGGTTGACCTTGGTGCTCTACGAGTTATTAGCAGACTACTTGAATTTCACTTTGTCACCTCTCCAAAGAGAAGCTAGCCAACCTTAACACTGCTGGCTGAAGTATCAAGTGTCTGAGCACACCCTTATATAGCTATTACTGAAATTTACTTATTTTTATCATCACAACTACAAACTATTTATATGTATTACTCATCACGTACTTCTACAAACTATTTATGTATATTGACTCACACACCTGTCTACAAATTATTTATGTTTATTACCCTTCACACATCTACCAACTCAATTGCATGAATGTGCATTTTACATCAGCTTTCTGTATTTGGGTGTAATCATTCTTATATCATTTTTGTGCCTTGCTTCATTTTCAGCATTCCTTGCCTTAGCTGCTGTTAACAGTTTGTTTATTTTGGAAACAGTTTGTTAGTTGTGCTTACCTTTGATGATCAGGTGTATCTACCTATAGATACCGATGGATATAGTCTTTGTTACTGGGTTGCTTTACCAGTTTTAAAGGTTGCCAGTCTAGAGGATGTAAGGTCCAAGTCCTTTTGGGAGAAAAAAAAGAAAAGCTCGACCACGTTCAGACTGCTGCTAGCAGTCTCCGCCTATATTTGTGGTCTGGGTTATTTGCGTCACTTTCGTGACTGAATTTTAGTGTTTGTGCCATTTCTGGGCTTGATGCTTCCATCCGAATCAAACCGCTCGTCCTGTTGTCACTGGTGCATGTCTTCCTTCTTCTTTCTTGGTGTTTCCTGTTTGTTCTGTCTCCCTTTGATCTGGCTAGGCGTCACAATTTATAGCCTGTGGGGGATTTTCAGTTCTGAGGTTTTGAACAATAGATCAACATCACGGCACACGGGTAGTAACCCATAAGTGCTCCGTTCTTCCTCTAACTCAAGTCTGAGTCTGAAGAAGCTCAGCACAGTGCACAGGCTCTGTAGCACCGGTGAGAATCCTGAAATACTTAAGGTAGATTTTAAACCCCAAATTTTGCACGGGCAGTGCCGTTAGGCTGCTCTTTTTCGATTTCCAACTGCCAGGGGATTTTTTTACGGGTGCAACAATGCACACGGGCGTCCGATCTGACTGCCCAGAGACCAGGGGAATTACTAGAAGTCCAAGTCCACGTGAAAAAAATCCCAACCCTTACTGGGGTTTAAACCCGGAACCTCTAGTGGACACGAGACCACGCAGTCCCTGGGGATTGTTGGTGTGCTCACAGCAGTCATGGGCCTCCTCCCACACACACATTTGTTCTATATAACATGAATAACGGATGCTTTTGTGTGCATGTGTATATATTGAAATATATATATATACAGCTGTCCTGTTTTCAAGCATACTTCTCCATCTCGAATTGATAACAGCTTATTAGCATTTACCTTTAATATTTATCTAAGCTGTTGAGTTTGTATTTGCCCAATAATTCTTTCTTTTTTGTGTTTGCAACAAGTAGAGATGCTTTTGTTATTTACATGTAACTGTGTGGTAAAAAGATCATTGTGTAAAACGTTCATTTCTTTAGCACCTCATTTTCAAGTTTTGTTCTGACAGTTACACTATTAGGTTATTATTAATCATTGTAACGATCACCATGGCAATGCTTTCTTTAGGAATTGTAGTGTATTTTTGGTCAGATTTTTACATTTCAGTATTGTTCTCGTCGACAGTTGCATGAATATATTATTCATAGTTTTAGCAAACACTAGACCAGTACTGTCTCTTGACTGAAGTGTAGAGGTGGGCGTGCACTTTGACTGATTAGAAATTAGGAACAAGCCTTCTGTTGTTCACTTGAAAAAGATCATCTATCTTTGCAATGTTGTCTCTAGAACTTTCTACTAGACCTAGGCCAGTAAGACATCCCACGAGTCGGTTACATGGTGGGTATCATACTGGTGTGCAGAAACGGATATATTTCCTATTGTGTTTGTGCATGGATTCCTGATTGTTGTGTCAGCAAATAACAAATGTCCATCACATGTGAATTTATCTGAAAAGCCTTCAGTATCGGTAAAACACTGATGTGAATTTTAAGTTGATTGCATGTCGCCCAAAATCGTCTGGTCATTGCCATTTCTAAACTGGATATTTGTGTTCCAGTCTTGGCTAACCTGTTTTCCTTCTTCTGCCTTTTTACACCAAATGGAGCATAGGCTCTCAACCCACTCACGCCAGGCCTTTTGTAGCTTGTTCATGTTCATGATTGGTTAGATATTGCATTTCCTACTGGATAAGGTGGGAGCCGCCGTGGGGTAGCAGATTCGAAGTTCGTGGGTTGAAATCCGAATGGAGCCGGATTGTTTAAAAAAAAAAAATAAACCCTGACTCCCAGGATGACCCAGCCATAAGTGGTTACCAGGAAATGTCCTGGAAAGTAAAGGTGGCTGGCATGATGTTGACCGCTAGGTCTGAAAATGCAGGTTTAGACATTTACACCTAATGCACCAAGAGGCGTGGAAAAGGATTCTGTACTTTTACAGGATAATGTTACCAATCTTGTGCCAGCCATCCTTATTTGCCTCTTATGACATGCATGGTAGAGCAGTATTTTTTTTTTGGGGGGGGGGGGGGGGGGGGGGGGGGGGGGGGGGGGGGGGGGGGGGGGTGGGGGGTCCTTTGTAGGACCCAGTGTTTTCTTAAAGCCTCTACATAGCCTTCTGTCATTTGTTCTGTCAATTATTTTTAATGTGTTCTTTGCATGCCATGGTGCCAAGCGTCCATCTTTGGTTCTTATGGGATACTCCTGTTTCCCTTTCTTATATAAGACTAAGGAATCTGCATTGGCTTTTTCTGCTGCGGGTTAATCACTTGTGTGATTTAACTGTTTTCAAGGTATCTTCATTACTTGTAGAAGAAGCTCCACAGAGGTGCAAGCACAACAGGAGTCTTCCGAACGAAGCCCCCTTCTTTGAATGTTTTGGCCCCTTAACCTCCCTTAACCTGGGTTGCACTGTGCTGTGTGAATCTTCTTCATTCACTGACTGTAAGCTCTGACAGAAAGTCCTGGTTGTTCAGCCATTTGGCTTTGTGCCAGGGCCAGAGTTTGTCGTGTACATCCGTTTTACTGGCCTATTTTTGTGCAGTTGGTTGTTCATTGCCGCTCAGGCATTAGTCGACTTCTACGACATGTTTGTTGGGTAGGCAGTGGGTCTGATTTTGTTTTCCCCACAATGAGGCCACAGAACTCACACAGGGTCTGGATGAATGTTGCCAATAATGAAGAACATGTTGGTTTACCATTAATATTTTAATCTGTCTATTATGTTCTTATCATTTTGGAGACCTGGTAAAGACAATCCCGGAAGGTAAAAATAATTGGCTGCTGAAGAAGAGGTCAAATTAACACCACCTTCTTAGTGTAGAGTCCTCTCACTGAAGACATGCAACAAAAGCCGAGCAGACGTGATAGCAAAAGTCAGGTGCCATAAGCTGACCTAGTTTTCGAGTACTATAGATTTGAATTATGGCACTGGCATTTTGATTCAGTCTGTTTTCGAATGTGCTGTACTGCACATTTCTGATGTCAGCTGTGTTGAGTTCTCAGTGATGATATGTTGGCCGACAGTTTTCGAATAATGTTTCCTGTCAGCTTTTACTTATGATAATTTAGGCCTGTTAGTTTTCAGTTATGTTAATAGTTTTCAGTTATGTTAATTCACTCTTAATTCTCTGATGTGACAGGCTGTGGTGCCACTGCGCACCCCGTGTGACATATAATGACAAAGGGACAATGAATTCTCTTACTTGTCATGTTTCTTTATTTCTTACCAGTAATCTTGTGTTTGAACGTGTATTTTATTTACCATAGATAAGTTCTATAATTTTTTTTCATCTGATCTGATATACATTTCCTCATATTGTGGTGACCCAAACCAATAAATTATTTCTGTTGCTACTTCATAGCTTTAGTGAATGTTTGTTTTCTCTGATCTTTGGCGAATTGGTTGTTTGACTCCCAAGAAGGGCAGCGACCCACAGGTTGAGAACCGCTGATCTAGAATGAGAATGGCTGTGGAGGCGGTAATGGCGGCTTACTGAGTGCCAGAGGTACCTGACAAGTATGTGATAAACTTGCTGAGCATATTTGAAAACTAGAACTGGTAAGCAACATGTAGAGTGGCTCTGCATCCCTTAATGACGTGTGTATGCTACGGGAACAGTTAGCACCTACACCATAAGACATCTGCTGCGAGAGACGTAGCATCTATAGGTATGTGCTGTAATATTGATTCTTAATCTATTTGCCATGATACTCAATATTTCTTAAATTGAGCATTACTTTTTGTTTTGTTTTTCCCTTTTGTACTGCATTGTCTGTTTGGCATATATTCAGAAATGTCCTTAACTAGGGGATCTGGCAGACACTCATCAGATTAAAAGCAAGATAAACATACAGTCAGACTGCTACTTGTACCGTTAGAATGGGGACAGAGCACTTATTGGGTTGACCAGAGTGTTTTGATGTCGCCTTGCGAGAAAACCGAGTATAACTAATCACTTTCTGGTTGTGACACGGCCCTGGAGATATTTTATATGACCATATGTCTGCAGTGACCTGTTCTTGAAATGCTGAATGAAATTATGTTTGTGCCCGCACAGAATTAAATATGAACATTGTTACTGGGGGGGGGGGGGGGGGGAACTGTATGACCTCAATGGCTTTTTGAAAGCTAAGTTGATTTTAAGTTTTCCCATAAGCCTAAGTGATGGAGGTTACAGCATAAGCCCCCCCCCCCCTCCCCGCGTACATTTTTAAAAAAAAATGTGTTCCATTTAATGCTTCACCTCGTTTATATATTTAGAAAAAATGTTATAGATAAATAAATTTATTTAAAATTTATTGGTGACCTTTGTGTAACATGGTGGTTTAAAAAAAAAAATTTACCTGAAAATCCCAGAATTAATTGCCTCCCCCCACCCCCTTTTGTAAGCATTCACTGAGCAAAAGGGTCAACTCAACTAAGAAATGTCGGTAGTAAATTAATGTTGTCATATTAAAACAGAAATCAAACCCTAGTACTTAAGAAGCTGCCCTTATGCTAAATTTGCAATTTATAATATCTGTGTGCTGATTTTATATTGTGCATGCATTTGTAGCAGTATTTCAAAGCATTGATTGTCAAAACTAATTGCTGAAAGCTGTCTGAAGGACATTTCCATTTTCACAGTTGACAGACCATGTGTTGCCAAACATCAGCTGCAGAACTTGTATCTGTTCAGTATACTGTGAGATTTTGTATGGGTGGTCACTGCTCTCTGTGCTGCAAATTTTATGAATGAATGTCACTGCTCCCTGTGTTGCAAATTTTATGAATGAATGTCACTGCTCTCTGTGTTGCAAATTTTATGAATGAATGTCACTGTTCTATCTGTCTGCTTTAAATTCTTTCCAAGCAGGCTGCCAGTTTATTTCAATGTCCACTTTAGCAGCTCTGGTGGAGGGACTTTGGCTTTCTGTTTGTCTTACGGGTATTCATGTGCACACACTAGATCAGCGGTGTGCAAACTATACTAGGGACCACGACTGGAACACTGAGCAATTTTTACTAGTCCATGAGGCTGGTGTAAAATTACTACATAATCTGTGCCCTCTCCCCCTAACTTTGAATCAGTAGTATGATTTTTGCAAATAACCAGCTTGAACAGAAACATTTAGAAGAGCTTCAGTAGGTAAGCCAAAGGCATAGCGGGGGAATTTTAGATTATCTGACAAAGAATGTCGTGTTGCAAATAAATCTGGGCATTTTGTTTATAATGGATTATTTTTTTTTTTACATGTCCCACGGCCAGTTTGGTAGTTTTAATTTGGAACATGGATTACAAAAAGTTGCCTACTATAGATGTTCATATCCGCTGCCTGGATGTAGAAAATACATATTACTTTAGAGGTTCTTTGCTGAATAGTCACTGCATCAGCCGCATTTATTATTTCTTCAAGAAAGCTTTTTTTTTAAAACTGCTGGCTTGCTGGGCCTGTCAATTTCAGAATTGTAGTTGACCAAATTAATCCCCTCCCACCTGGCAAGCCGCAGAGGGCCCTGTCACCAGACACAACAGAAGCATAGCTATAAGACGCCCACATAAGCCGTGGATAGATGGAATATTCAAGGCCATCCACCAATGCTTAAATTAGATGTAGATTTTATTTTTCCAAGTTAGGACAAATGGTTTGGCCATCTCATTTGATTGCAACAGCATCAAATACCATCACGGTCACTACTTCTCAGAAGGTCCGCTGCATGAGAATGGTCACACACAAACATGGATCAAAAACATTAAAGGCACTTTGCACCTTCATGATGTGTGCCAGCCAGTAATGGACAGTTATTGCAGCAGTAATGTTCTCACTCACTCTAAAGAAAGCAAACTGACCATGAATTCCTGGCCATAAGAAAATGAAACGGTTTAGGCAAAAATCTCACTGAATGAAAAAACTATGACCGTTCATGGCAAACAAGAAGTAAATTAGTTTTCAATATATGTAAAGAGGTTTTCTGTTGCAGATGGTGTGCACATTTTTGTTTTTCGGCAGAACTTAATTTAATATGTGATTTTTAAAAATTGTCCTGTTCCTATTCAGAAATGGCTGATTGTAAAATTATCTGGGCCAACAACAAAAAATCCTATGGCTGATTTGCAGGATTTAACACAGGCGGTTGTTTTGATTTTAAAATTCAGGCTTTTTTGCAAGCTGATTTTTAAAAACTTACTTTCAAATAAGACACACTTGGAAAGCTAATTTGAACACTTTTACTAACGGTGTGTTTTCAGCTATCTCTTAAGAAAAATGTGTAAATAAAAAACCGTATTTAAAAAAAACTATTGAGCGTTCTCGGTCTCTGGACTTGATTTAAACTTACATGCTGATCAAATTATGAAAATATTCAGGTTCAGTTTTCAGTTAAATTTTATTGCAGTCAGATCTGGTCTACTAATTCCTATCAAGACATCGAGTACCGCAGCTTGTGTGATCCAACTCTGAGGTTGATGATGATACCACGGGAATCGTGGGGATGTTTTCTGTAGGTCATCTGGCATTTTAGGTTAGAACCTAAAACAACAAAAACTGATGAGCACAACAATAAGAGATCCATATAACGTAAATTATAAACACACGTTTCAGGACAACAGGTCCAGAAGTGAACAAACAACCAGGACTTTCCGCCAGAGTTTACAGCTGGTGAATGCAAGGACAATGAGATAATCAGTCGAACATTGTAAACAAACGAAGTAGGTCACCTTTCATTCATAATTTTTCGGGGGCAGGTTACGAGTGTGCTGCTCCGTTTGCTTTCTGGGTTGTCTTACATTTACGTTTTTATTCAGAGAAAGAGAATGCCTGTGACATAGGTTTCATCACTCTCTAAAGGGGTTTTTGGTTAGACCCAGTTTGTCGATGTTTTTGGGAGTGTTAAATTGCTGGCGTGCTGAAATATACAAGATGCAATATCAATGGCATTGCGGCCCGGTAACCTTCTGGCAAGGTCGACCAATCAGAAGTGAGCTACTGTGTAAATGTGGAGACTAACATTTCTATTTCCAGAAGCATGTCACAAGGGTTGGAGTGCATCTGCCTGATAGGCAGGAAACCAATAGTCTGCATACAAATAAGCCAGATCTATAAAATGAATGTGCACACAAAACTCAGGTTCTGGAACAGTACTCAAGTCCAAAAGAAGACGAAGAACCAGAACTTTTGCCAGAGTTTAAAGCTGGTGGTGAACGTAAAGAAGAACAAACAGATTCTAAAACACCTGAAAGCAGCTTACCCCGTGTGACTGGTACAGGTGTTGGCAGTAACATGATGGCTTGCTCCCAGTGTGTGGGTGTTGCATGAGGTCCAGTGCTGAAGCTCACCTGTGTACAAATAATTCAAAAGGGTAACTTTTAAAGTGTTTGGTAGAAAGTGTTTTTAGGGATGTGAAGTGTTCAGTTAACTAACTAAAACTTAATCTCCATGCAAGTTCAGATACCAATGGGTTGTATTAGAACTCCATATCTCTGGTTAGGCATAGTAGGATTTGAGTGATGATGATTTACCAAAGCTCGTATGAACTGACTGATAGGCCTAGGTTGGTTCTCTTAGGTTTTATGTATATAGACAACAAATTCTAACCCAATGACCAAATAGACCACTATATTTCCCACCAAAATTACCCAGCGTGGGTTCCAAGGCACCATTTTGGAGGTGGGAAGTATTGAGGCAACACAACAACCCCCCCCCCCCCCCCCCCCCCATAATGAAAGGTGACTAATCTGACATGCTGGGCCGAAATATATAAATACCACAGCCTAGTTGTAAACCACAACACAGTGTAACCCTCTGATATGATTTAGAGAAACAAATTTACATTAACTAGGCCTAATATTATGTGAATGAGACAACTATAACACAGCTGTCTGAATCATTGAAAAGTGGGTTCCGGGGGGTCCCCATTGTAGGGAAAAACAAGGATAGGCAAGACTGCCTCCCCAACAACCATGTCGTAAGAGTGGACATCAGGGATTTCCTTCTAAGTCGAAGAGAATCTGCCTGAGAGGCAGGAACCAACAGTCTACAAACAAATGAGGCAAGGAACTAACAGTCTGCACAAAAATGAGGCAAGGAACCAACAGTCTGTGAATAATTGCGGCAAGGAAACAACTCTGCACACAAATAAGTCAAAATCTATAAAATGGATGTGCATGCAACTCAGGTTCTGAAACAAGTCTAAAAGCCCAGAGGTGGATGAACAACCAGAACTTTCCGCTGAAGTTTACAGCAGGTGAACGTGAAGAAGAAGAAAAAAACACAACCACAGAACAGTCAGACCCTCAAACCTTAGTTTGGCAAGCAGCAGCAAAGTCTGTATCAAAGTAACCAACAACTGCAGTGATGTCAGCGTCTGCCTGGCACTTGAGAGAAAACTCTGTAGAAAATTCCAGATCTTTCACACTGCATGTCATCACATCGATCTCCTAGTTTGGAAACAGAAAGACCTCTTCAGATCATATAGTTTATTCTTCAATTCTAATTTACACTTTCTTCCTTATCCTTTTACCTTTTGTCGAGGTCATTTGGATATGCAAGTTAAAGATGTTTGCTAAGATGATCTGTGTGTATTACTGGTGATAGTTTACCTCTTGATATGCAGTTCTCTTAAATAATAAATCTCGTTCATCCCAAAAGAGAGTCGGCATAACACTCCATTCAGACTACTCCACGTGAAAGTTCTCTGGTTTCTGTGAGGAAGGATGGCACTATTCTGTGTTTTTTTTTTTTTTTCACTACTGGCTCATGGTAGTGAACCCAGTTTTCATTTGTGGGTCCAGAAGCCCCAGTGTGGGGAAAAACAAGAACAGGCCCCCCTCCCCCCCCAAACATGTCATAAGTTGACTAAGATGTACGGTAGTGTCACTTGCCAGCTTTCCTGTACGAGGTCTTCAACGACTGCAATTAACTCAGGCGTCACTAACTGGTGTGCCTAAACCGGCCGGGAATAGTCTATCACAGAAGTCACTGTTTTAAAACTTCCTACCACCATACTAAACATTCATTCACCAATAAATTTCTATAGGCTTCACTAATCAAAAACGGACAATAGAACTTTGCTCCTCTTTTGGTAAATTCAAAGTGGGGCGGCCATCTCTATATTGTCAATATGACGTTGCTGTGTTTATATGTCCCTCCCCGGTGGGGCCCAACTCAAAGGAGGAAACAATGTTACATTACTCACCTTAACGAGGGCTGGCTCTGTAACAACAGTCTCCTTTCTGATCAACTTGACATACACTTCATCAATCACAGATGATTTCATGCAAGACATTTTAAAGCCGTACACATCATCCCAGAATTCAATCTTAGATTTCCTCAAGTCCAAGTCGCTCACACCAACAACGAACATTGAGAAGTGATCTGGGTAGACTACACACACAAAACAAAATACATTTTTAAAACAGACAAGGCAAGTCTTCAGCAGTCAGAGCTATTAATAACAGAATGACACTTGTATGCACCAAACAGTTATTTAATGACATTTGTATGCATCAAACAGTTACTGAATAACACTTGAATGCATTGAACATTACTAAATGACATGTGTATGCATCAAACAATTAGTGAATGACACTTGTATGCATCAAAGTTACTGAATAACACTTGTGTGAATCAAACAGTTCCTGAATGACACGTATGCATCAAACAGTTCCTGAATGACACTTTTCTGCATCCGACAGTTACTGAATGACACTGTAGGCATCAAACAGTTCCTGAATGACTTTTATGTATTATTACATGTTCAACTAACAATTACTGAATGACAATTCTATGCGTATAACAGTATTATCTAACAGTTACTGAATGACAGTTGTACATATTTACAAATTACTGAATGAATAAACTGCAATCCTGGGGAAAGCCTACAACATTCAACAATGAATTAAATGCATAAGGCAGAAACACCAGCGGTGCCAACATCAACAGTCTGCCACTAGAATTGAGTTTTACTATCAATGGAAGCAGTAGTCATGAAACAAAAACCTAGCAGCTGCACAAGCATTACTGCATAAGATACAGCTACTTCTGTGGCAACGAGCCAGTCACTTTTCTCCGAAAAGGCAGTTCACAACTCAAACTATAATGGGCACGGCTAAAAAGCATTTCACCTGAAATCCACAACTGTGTCGCACCATGCTAATCACCCCAGTAGCTGGCTGAAGAAGTCTATTTTTAGTCCACTTATGAAGAAAATGTGCCAGCAAACTGACCAGATGTGAATAACACTTCAAGGCTTTAACAGATGACCTGTCTATCCACCATACTGGAGTGGTGGCTAGGTCGATATTTAATTACCTTTTAACTTCACTCACACACAGCCTGTGGATGTGTCCCGAGTTCTGTGATGAGTCCTCACTAATTCATTGTACAGAAATATTACATTCTTACCACAGCCACCTGGAGCGAGGTATCGATCTCTGGCCCAGAGTACAGAGTCCAGCATGGCTTCAAACAGCAAAAAGTAGCCCATCCATTCGGATATAATAATATCAAACTGTTGACAAATATATGAAACAAATATACTTAGATAGTCAAGACTACACTAAGCATTTGCAGATACCAAATTAATACCAATCAGATAATTTGGTCTTATAATAAGATTAAAAGGTAAAAGAGGTAAGTAATAAGATTATTATACTGTATAGTTACACAATAAGATTATCACAAGACCTCTGTGTGAGATCTGGGGCCCCACTGTGGGGAAAACAAGAATAAACCCACTGCCTACTCAACTAATTGAGAGCTTACTTTGAAGTCGGAGTGCATCTGCCTGAGATAATCAACAATTTGCTTACAATTAAGTCAGATCAGCTAAATGGATGTGCACGCAACACTCACTTTCTGGAACTGGACTGTGGCGCGGTGATTTCGGTCACAGGCATGAGGCAAAGTTAAGTCTGATGTGATGTGTAAAAGGAGATACTCCGTACCCCACTCGGGCGCCAGTCCTTCACTGTTCTGGTTTTACGGAACCTCATGCAAGACTCCTGCTGCACGTCCCCGTCGTGCGCCACAGATAATGTCTCAAATGAGCATTAACAGAGTTGGCAGGGGATCTCGGAGCTGGCGGCCCCTAGAGGTGTAGTGTCCTTTCTGGCTCTCACCAGCCCGCCCCCAAACGCATGGGTGAAAAGTCTAACAAAACTCAAGAATTGCTTGCTAAATGTACCACCAAATGACAACTCTCGGTTAAAATTCGGGAGCGAATGGAAAACTGTGCTGCTGAGACTTAACCCTGACCGAGAGATTTACCCGCAGCCAAGACGAGTAACATCTCTTGTGGGCGACTTCTCGCAGCAAGATCCTACCTACGTACATCCTCTGTCAATCCTCAGTGTCGTCGTCACCGCGCTGAGGTACACCACGGCAGCAACTTTTCATATGCTGGCTAGGAAATAATGTCCGACAAAGTTATACCCCACGGCACACATGCAAACTCAAAGTCCGACGATCATAATTCGTACCGATTAGGAAAAAGTCCAAATGTCCGTATCCACTGGTCCCACTCGCCCGAGTGTTGGAACCAAACAGGTGAAGCCACGCCTGACGCATTTTGCTTCCCCATTCTGTCGTGCTAAGGGCACAACTGAAACAACGTTAAAGGTGTCTAACGTGCGATGAAAACGAATGTACCTATTTGTGTGGCCACAAAAGTCCTGGACCTGCGGGCTGCTCCCCGCTGATCTCCGAAGAGTGCAGCCTTGTAGCGCGGGAAGCTCAATACACGGTTGTGAGGTTAAGCAGTCATGGGCAGGACGTGACGATTCCTTGGGTGAGCCCAGAACCAGAGCATCATGTGTCGGCTCTGCATTTATGGAAGCCTCCTTGGATGGCGGAAAATGCCCATGATCTGCCCCTGCCTTCCCTTGAGGGCTGACAATTCTACCTAGGGCTGCCTTAAGGACGATATTCTGGGGGCCACACCTGTTAAAGGTCAAAGAGGACACCACACAAATGAGGCAACATCTCGACCCACACAAAACAATGGCCACAGTCAACCTAGAAATAGGCTTGACATCTTCCCTCGAAGTCGGAGTACATCTGCCGGAGAGGCGGGGAACGAGAACTGCAAACAAATAAGCCAGTAAAACGGATGTACACGCAAAACTCAGGTCAAGGTAAAAGCCAAAAGTCTATTTGGACGAACAACCGCGACTTACCGCCGGAATTCACAGCCGGTGAACAAGAAGAAGAAGGAACTGGACTAGAGTCCAGAAATGGACGAGCATCCACAACATTCCACTGGAGCTTATAGCCGATGAACGCACAGAAAAAGAAGATTACCAAAGACTGTTCCAGAAAGAGCTTTATTGTTTTAACATGATAGAATTTTTTTTTTTTTTTAATGGAGTCAAGGACGTCTCAGGAGCTCTTACACACAAAAAAGGTAGACCTCCTGTCATCAACACCGATCCTAATAACTTTTAACTGTAACACTCCAATGTGGAGCAAGCATAACACTGGGCTTGTGACTATCACTTGAAGTCCCTTTCTACGAGTTTCAGCTACTTAAGCTTCTTTACATTCTCATGGGACGGGTCTTTATGGGTGTCTTTCTCAAACTTATTTAATTTTCCATGACTAAAAACAGTGAATGTGCCTAATCTCAATTTTGATCAGAATGAACCTGGTGGATGACAACTATTTCCACGAAGCACAAGTATGCTCCGATGTGTAGTTGCGTTAGTTTTCAATGAGCTCTGATCTTTGTGATTTCTTGCCATGGTCTGCTATTTTGTGAACAAAGCACATGTATGCTTCGATGTATGGTTGTGTTAGTCTTTAATGTGCTCTAATATTTTATTTCTCTTGTCATTGTCTTGCTATTTTGTGAACAAAGCACAAGTATGCTTCGATGTGTGGTTGCGTCAGTTTTCAATGGGCTCTGATTTTCTTTCTGATCTTTGTGTTATCTTGTCATACATAGTCTGCTATTTTGTGAACAAAGCACAAGTATGCTTCGATGTGTGGTTGCGTCAGTTTTCAATGGGCTCTGATCTTTGTGTTCTCTTGTCAGAGTCTGCTATTTTGTGAGCATTTCCAATACTGTGTTTTTCGTAAGCATGTATTGTACTTGTGCTATGTCAAAGTGGGATGGTGATCAACTGAGGTCACAGCCTCAGTGGGTACAGTGTGTTTCACAATGTTTCCACTGCAGCAGCCCAATGTTTGTGAAGATAGGTCTCATCATCAGCAGGCAACTGCGACTTCCTAGACAGCAAATTTAAAAAAAGCCATCACCCAGAAATGGAATGTTGTCAACCATTTTTTTCTTGGTGGGGAGGAATCAAAACATAAATGAACTCAATGGTCTTGACCCATAATAGCGCTCCATCAGCTGCCACACATGATAGGCAGCCCTTCTAACATTAACAGTGTCACTAACAACTGTAGAAATGATGTTCCCTAGTGGGTTCTAGGGCCCCACTGTGGGAGAAAAAAAGAATAGACCAACTCCCCCCTAACAAGTACGTCATACGAGTTTACTAATTACGGATGTTTCCTTCAAAGTGAGAGTGCATCTACCTGAAAGATAAGGAACCAACAGTCTGCATACAAATGAGCCAGATCTGTAAAAAAGATGCGGAATCACAACTCAAGTTCTAGAACAAGGCCAAAGTTTAGAAGTGGACGAACAACAATAACTTTCCGCTATATATTACAGCCGGTGAAGATAAAGAAGAAGAAGTATAGATAAAGTCTAAAATTCACCTTCTCAACTGGCAATGTCACATCCTCGAGCCTGCCTTTGACAAATGTGATTTTGTCATGCAAACCGTTTTCTCTGTAATACATGAAACAGAACAGAGTCAGATAACAATATTTAAAATATTCGACAGAATATTCTATCTGAAATATTTTTACTAGTCTTAATCTTTATAAAATAAACTTAACTGTGGCTGGGCAAGCGGACAGGATATTGTACATTATAATCTTTGTTCTTCTTCGCACTAAACTTTGTCATCCTGAGAACGCTTTAAAAAAGTAGGTCATGACATTTCTTCTTCTTCTGCCTTTCTATCCCCCAATGGAGCATAGGCCCTCAACCAACTCACGCCAAGTCATTCTATCCTTCGCTATTGCATGGAGCTCTCCCCATCTTTTTAACTTCATTCTCCAGCTCTCTTCTCCATGTGTTTTTTGACCTTCCTTTATTCCTATGCCCCTGTGGGTTCCAATGCAAAGACATTCTAGTTATGCTGTTCTTCTGTTGTCTCAGAGTGTGTCCTATCCAACGCCAGTATCTTTTCCTTACCTCTTGGTCCATTGGAGTCTGTTTAGTTCTCTCCTAAAGCTCTACATTAGTTATTCTATCATACCATTTAATTCCCCATGACATGTGGGAATACCGAAAAATCTTACATGATTTACTTTCTTTTTTTTAAATATATAGATATATTAGGGGAGTAATCTATTACACAGACAGACTGAAAACCTAAATGGAATACACTCTCAGAGAAGCGATGAACTAGCAGTCTGTATACAAATAAACCAGATTTGTAAAACAAATGTGCACACAAAACTCAAGTTCTGGAAAAACCTCCTTAAGTCAAGAGGTGGATGAACAACCAGAACTTTCCGCTGGAGTTTACAGCCAGTGAATGCTAAGAAGAAGAAAAAGATTGCCGTGGCAAATAGTCTATTTGGTGCATCAGCTCTAGGGCAAACTCCCACCCTTCATCTCTTGCAAGTCATCCTAATTATGATTTGGAGAGTCAAGACAGTGTGTGAGTTAAGTACATTATTTAAGATAACAAGGATCAACTTTCTTTGCATTCTAAAGTGGAAACAAGAGAGTTTGAAAATTTTGTTTTTTTAAAGCCAAAATAACGAAAAGAAGATTGAAAAGAGTAAGCACAAAAAAAATAATTTATAAAAAAGACAGAAACAAGAAAAAGGAAGAAACAAAAAGCAATTGAAAGAAACAAGTCAGATAAAACAATCCCTATAAGTCAGTACAGTCACACCTAGCAATGTCCATGGCTTGGTAGATGATACTTGACTGGTCAACGGCCACCACATGTTGTGCTCCAGCCTTAGCCGCAAACATGGACAAGATTCCAGTGCCACATCCAACATCCAAGACCACTTTCCCTTGAAACAACTGAGGATTCTTCATGATGAAGTCCCTGTAGCTTTCTGTCCGAACTCTGTCCTGTGAAAGTATGACAGAAACAGCGGTGTGAAATTATACAAATCAACAATTAATTCAAAGCTAACAGACTTTTGCTAAATGTAGGAGGACAAAATGTCAGGTGAATATGAACTCTCTCAGAAAATTCTGACAGCAGAGGTTCCTCTTTCCTCATTTTAAACAGCAGATCAACATCATGGCATAATGGTAGTAACCCATGAGTGCTCCGTTCTACTTCTAACTCAAGTCTGAGTCCAAAGAATCTCAGCACAGTGCATGAACTCTGTAGCACCGGCAATGATCCTGAAATACTTTGGGTAGATCTTTAACTCCAAATTTTGTCAAAGCAGCGGTGTTCGGTTACTTTTTTTCGATTTCCAACTGACAAAGTTTTTTTTAAATTTTAATGTGCACAACAATACACACAGGCGTCCGATCTGACTATCCAGAGAGCAGCGGAAATTACTAAAAGTCCATGTGAAAAATCCCAGCCTCTACTGGGGCCTCTCAATGTGGGAAAATAACCCTCCATCATCATGAACTGCCTTTCTGACTGGCGTGGGCGATCATGCCTTTCTATAACTTGTGATCTCCAATAGTGTGCAACAATTCATGTGCTGACACATTTCCAGGCTGTGACAAAAGGTGGTCTTCCACTATCTCTCTTTCCGGTAGTCACAACACATTCCAGATGCATCCCAAAACGTGACCAAAACGACCTCCAACACTATGAAAAATCAAAAGTAAATTAATTTCTAAGATGACAATATATCGGTAAACAGGAGTCTCCATGTCGAAGTGATGGATTTCATTTCAGTGTCCTTCCTTTCACAAGTATATGTGTTCTGGAGATCCCAGAGTCACTGGAACTGCAGAGCCTGAACTTTGTGTGACACTTATGCATGCCACTCTAAAGACAGAAACTAAACCATATCGGATACAATTTTGCAGAATGAAGTCGACCCTCTATGTGAGACATAACGACATGACAGGAGACAGGATGGTCAAGATGATCCTCAAGTACTACCTTCAGCATAGTCATGTGAATGTCGTGATGGCCATAGGAAGCAAAATATCCATCTTCCTCACTTAAAGAATCTTGATTAGCAGCGGCCAGTCTGGTTCCCAGCTTCTTGTCGTCTGCACCCATCACTAACTGCTGACCGACTACTCTGAAAGCAAAAATTATCCGTTTGAACTTGTGAATTAACAAACACTGATAACACACAAGGGGGGTCATAGCAGATATAGTTAGGAACCAACATAACAGCACTCTGGACATTCCCCTAAGTGCCCCATCTCTATCTTCAGCAGCAAGTGCAGAGTTCCAATTCCAATGGTACCAGTAACATAAGAAAAAAAAGGGTTGGCATACAACCCCTATTGAATTATACATTAAAATATCAAATAAAAGGCTTTGCCTAATGTCCTGCATCAGCATCTACTCCTTGCTTCCTGATTCGCTGGAATTTGTTTCACTCCCTTCGTCAGCTCCACATTCTTGTCCATGGCTGATGGGATTCTGCAGCTTGAATTTTCTGTGGGCTGGAGTAGCCAACCCCACACTGATCTCCTCAGATGCCTTTTACAACATTCATGGTAGGTTCATTGCTTCCCTTAAGGGCTCCTGTGACAGCCGAGCAGTGTGACAAGGCAATATCTTATTTTCTGTGTATGCCCTTTTTAAAGGGTAGTTGACACTTTAGTGTGGTATGCAGCTAGGATTCGATATCCGCGCTTTCCAGCCTACAATACCTTGTAAGGAGCAGTTCGTCTACCCCCCTTCCCCCTCCTTCCTGCCACAAAACCTACAGGATGAAACAGAACCAACATGATTTCAACCCACCCACACCCCCTCCCTAAATATTTGCTTTCTTAAATGACACCACACTACTTGGAACATTCCCATAAATGCTCAGTTCTTATTGTCTTCAGCAACAAGCTCCAATAATAAAGGTGTCCACTCAATTAAAATAATAATTAAACCTCATTTAAGTCAGCCCATTTATAAAGTAGAAAGTTAAACAAAAACGAACCAACTTCTATGATTCATCTGACTATACTGTCCATCAACACTAACTTCAATCTCCGGATATCCTCCAGTGCTCTATCCAGCTCCTCCCTGAGCAGATCACGGTCAGCCTCTGTCCGATGAACACAAGCAACTAGCGCGGCCACAGCCTTGGACTCCGAGACATCTTCCTCCTCAGAATGGTGAAGATTCTGATTAGAGTTACCATTGTGCTTTGATTCATCTGTCAGTCCTTGACTTAAGTGGGATTGGGCCCATTCAATATCTGCATGTAAAATAAATACTGGGAATCAGCTCATGTTAAATAAAAAATATGTGGTCGCAATAATAGAATCTCACAACTAAACTTAAAGTCATGTCAGAAACATCATTCAAATTATATGTTTGCAGATTGAAAAGGTTAGAAAGGTAGAAGAATAAACATAATTCAAATTATATGTCTGCAGATTTAAAAAGATTTAATAACTACAGACTTTTTGTAATGCGGAACACAAATAAATTGTTTTACATATATAGTGTGCAGTTGAAAGTACCCATAGATATTAAAAGCTATAAAAGTACCCCTAAAATTAATAAATAAATACCAATATATACTTTTTGTTCATTATCGATGAAATAAAAACCAAACTACATTGCTAGGAATGCTTGTTATAACATTTTCTTCTTCTTCTTCTGCTTCTAACGCCCAGTGGAACATAGGCCATCAACCAACTCACACCAAGTTTTTCTATTCTTTGCTATCACATGCAGCTCTCCCCATTCTTTTAACTTCACTTTCTAGCGCCCTTCATGCCTTTTTTGGTGGGGGAGGGGATGATTTCTCTTTCTTCCTATGTCTCTGTGGGTTCCAGTGCAAAGACATTCTAGTTATATTGTTATCAGGTTTTCTCTGTCCTATCCAACGGCGGCAACTTTTCTTAACTTCTTAGTCCACTGGTACTTGTTTGCTTCTCTCTCAAAGCTCTACATTAGTGATTCTATCATAACATTTAACTCCCTCCATTCTGAGCAGGCACCAGTTAATGAAGGTTTGAAGTTTATTAGTAACTGTCTTATTTGTTTTCTATGCTTCCACTCCATACAAAAGAACTGATAGGACAGTACTATGAAAACTCTTGCCTTCTGTTTTCATATCTCTATCAGTTGCCCCATCTTTATCTACATTACTGACCAAACAGGTGTACGACTCCATGTCTTGACTCGGAGTGGGATAACATTAAGAGAAACCACACTACTTTTTGCCTGATTTATTCACATTATCTTTCCCTTAAAGATTTTCAGACCTAGCCGTTGTGATTTGGCATTAAGTACATATAATTTATCTTGCATCTGATTTTGTGAGTAGGACAGAGAGAAATATCAGCCAAGTCCAGATCATCAAGCTGTTCTGTAGTGGTCCACTAAATTCCATTCCTGGGGTTAGCAGTGGCTGTCTCCATAATCCAGTCTACTGCCAGTAAAAAAAAAATAAGAGGTGACAAAAGGCTCCCTGTTTCACATTTGTTTTTATTTTAAACTAACGGTTATCTTTCTGTCATGAACAACTCAGCATTTTCTGTCTGTATATGTTGCCTTCTTCTTCACGACCTCGGTTACCACTTCGGGTGTCGAGGGAGATATAAGGTCCTGCTTCGTGCTCTTCTGGCTGCTTCAACCATAGACACATCCTGGTTCTGTAGAGTTTCTCTGATGTTATCTTTCCATCTTGTTCTTGGTCTCCCTCTTATTTTACATCCCTTTCCTCTTTTGCTATGTTTTGTATGATATAGTGTCAGGAGGCATTTTCTCCAAGTGGGCAAACCATTTGATTTGCTGTCCTTGTAGGCAATTTAGAATTTGTTCTGTGCCAACTTTATCTCGTATGATCTCATTCCTGATTTTATCTTTTCTGGTCACTCCCATAGTCTTTCTCAGACACTTCATTTCCATGGTTACTAATTGTATTTTAGGTTTTGTTGTGAGTGACCACATCTGGCACTGGTAGCATAGGATATATGTTGCCTTTACTAAGTTAATTATTTTCTGCAGGATTCCATAGTGCCCCATTAATTTCCAGAGAGATTCCCTATCAATGCTGTAAAAAAGCTTTTTCATAGTCTATGAATCCAATGTAAAGTGGTGAATTCAATTCAATGCTTTGCTCTATTATTTTGTGTACTGTGGCTATCTGGTCAGTGCAGGATCAGTTTGGCCAAAAACATGCATGTCCATCTCTTAGCATCTTTTAGTCTTTCCATAATATCCCCACTTAATATGTTTCCAGGAAATGACATCAGCATCATTCCTCTATAGTTCTCACATGCATGTAGATCACCTTTGCGGAGGTAGGGGCAGTTTACACAAGTTATCCTTCTCTGTAATCGGCTAGTATTTCTTAGGTCTTTACTTAATAATCTATGCAGCAATTCCACTGATGTCTTAATATAGGTTTTAATAATATCTGCTGGGATACCATCTGGACCTGCTACGTTTAATCTTTAGTCTTGGTGAGTACCTTTCCTTGACTACTTTTGATGGATCCAGTTGAATGACTATGTTAACCTACTAATTTCCTTGTGTTACTGTAAAGGTCTATGAGGTTTCCTCTTTTCTGCAGCTGATTCAGATTCTTGTGCTAGGTCATCTAAATATCTCCTTTAATCTCCCCTTATTCACAATCTAACTTCCTTATTAGCTTGTGTATTTTTCCTGAGCTTTAGCAGCTCTGGTTTTAGCTATTGTTTAAGTTTGAGATTTTACTAGATGAAAGGAGGTATTTCGACGCTCCGGACTCCTCTCAGCTTTTTCCGCATCACGTCATAATTCCTCTACTAGAAGAGGCATCCCATGTCTGGGTTTTTCTTGTTTCCCTTTTTGACTTTTCCATGCTGGTTGGTTTTTGTGGCTATTGGTTTTTACAGGATGAGGTAGCCAAGCCCAACCCTACCCTTAGTCGCCTTTTACAACATGCCTGGTAGGATGCAGTATGAATGTGCTTCCTGTGAGTGCCTAGGTAACACATGGGTGATAACACTTTTTGGGTGCCATGTAATATTAAGTAAACCCCCCCCCCCCCATTATAAACAATTATGTTACAGCGAAATATGCCAGGCAATAAATTGTACAATCAATTGATTGTGTCTTCTTTGTTCAAGTTACGTTGTCCCCCAAAAAATCTTGAAAGCGAACATTTATGACAGCAGCCAAATACACTATACAATACAAGATAAAACAACGGAGGAACTGACTGCGAGTTACTGATGATCATTATCTGTAAATTTCAAGCATCCACAGTCTTACCAAACTGAAGCATCAGATCTTCAGAATCAAAAGCCTTCATGTAAAGATCATTGGACCATAATGACCCATGGCAGGCCATCCCAACTTCTACAGCTTCGACAGTTGGCGTCTGGAATCAGAAAAAAAAAAAAAAATTATGTTGAAGTGATAATATAATAAAAGATACTCCTTATGAATTTATAAAATGCCAAAAATGCAGCCATCGCTGCAATTAAAAAACAGTTGATGAATTATTATTATTCTTCGCCTGCCTTCTTTTGAGACTCACAGCAAAGTTGTGTAACTAAAACATGGCTCCTCAATACGGCAGCATGACGCTCATTCCCGCTCACCTATCTACGGAAAGTCAAATCCATAACTGGATGCCAGACATCATTCTTTTTTGTCTCTGTTTGCACCAGACATTGTCAGACCCCCTCCCCCCTCCCAGTAGTTTCAGGTTGAAAGAAATGTTCAATTTCTGTTGGGAGGACATGATTTTTTTTTTTAATGTAAAAATGTCCATGTTCATCTCTCGATTTAGACTGATCATTATGCGCTAGTCCCATATTTTATATATTAACTGACACTTTATGTGTCTTCTCTTATTCTGTCCCACTGTTTATAGCGTAAAGTGTCACACAGAAGAGTTAGACATTGTTTCCTGTCTCCTGTTAGTTGTGTTGCTTATGTTAATGTCATATTGCATTTCTGCAGTGTCTATTTTACTCCCTCCGCCCATCGTTTTCTTAACTGGCCCTGACCTGTAGCCTGCTGTTCTCATGCTCTCCATGTGGGTTCCGGGGACCAGTTGTAGGGAAAACAAAAATAGACCCACTGCCTTCCCAAAAAGCATGTCGTAGGGGAAGACTAATTGGGAGCTTCCTTCGAAGTCAGAGTGCACCTGCCCATGGCAAGGAATAACCAACTGCATGGAAATAAGCCAATAAAACGGATGTACATGCAAAACCATATCACAAGGTCCAAGTCCAAATTGATGAACAACCAGGATTTTCCACTGGAAGTGAACAAAGAAGAATATGACATTTTTTTGCTCCAGCTGAGGGCTTCTTATTCTGTTTCATTCTGACCTACGTCTGATTGGTCAGTTTCATGCCAGCTGCCCTCATTTCCAGGTGCATTTCTGGTTACTTTATTTAAACTAGGTCATCCTGAAAACCATGGCAACAATCTGTCTTGAAAGAAATTTTTTTAAATTTTAAAAAAAAGTATGAACCACAGAGCCGGAAGGAAGCAGATATAATCTAAATATCTTCTTAGCGTTCACTAGCTGCAAACTCTGGCAAAAATAAATGGTTGTCTGTCCATTTTTTGACTCTAGTCTTCATCCAGTGCTTGAAATTTGCTTGCTCACCCATTTCACAGATCTGGCTTACTTGTACGCAGACTGTTGGTTCCTCGTCTCTCACGTAGATGCACTCCTACTTTGAAGGGAAAATCACTAATAAGTCGCCTTTTATGACATGCTTATTAGCAAGGCACTGTGTATATTCTCCCCCCCCCCCCCCCCCCCCCCAACTTAAAGTTACAAATAATAATCCCTCCAACAAACAAATTTCTTCCCTTGTTTCACATGTATAAGAAATGACCAGCAACAGCACACACAGAATGACAGCGATCTTTTAGACAAAACAGGTCACCAATTTTCTTTTACTCAAAGTGGAAGAAACTACACAAATAAATTTTCAATATTAGGTTAAGTGCAGTCTTAAAAAAAAAAGTTATGTAACATGCAATCCTGTGAGAATAAAGAATATCTTTTAACATGAGAAACAGGATGGTGGCAGAAATGAAATTATACATACCTTCTGTCGAATATAGTTGATCATTTTAATGTAACTAATACAATCAATGGACCATTTCAGGCAACTCTCGACCAAGTCAAAACTGTGGACTTTGTTGCAATGTGATAGGAGTGATTCTACAGATGGCTCAACAAGTGGGCAAAACAGACATACTACATCCCCAGTTAACATGTTCATTTCTTCTTCCTCGCCGCTGTCGTCTTCATCATCGTTCCACTCATTCTCGTTAATATCATCGTCATATTCATGGTCACTATCAGATACCAGAGGTGGAACACAGCAGTCATCTGCAAAATATGCAAGCGAATGTCAAACTATCAACGACAATATAATAACTATTATTGTAAACATGTAATAAACGTAATGGTAATCCAATAACAGACTTAATAATTTAATATTTAAGGGAGATCCTTACAGGAAGTATAAAATCACTGTACTTTACAAAGCAGGTAATCTCAGTTTCAATTTCATAGAAACAGGTGCCCAAAATTGAACCATTCCTGTACACATTTTTTTTTAAATGTCCATCACTGTGCCTTGAGAAAAACTGACACAGACTGCAGTCTCAACAAAGTGAACAGCATTGACATGCAATAAATGCATAAGGCAGCCATCAAAAGTGCCAACACAAACAGTCTGATATCAGCAATGCAGTTCATTGCTTATGGAAGCAAAAGTTACAACAGTAATAGTTGCACATAAGGCAACAGTTCCTTCGCAATTTTCAGAATCTGCAGTTCACAGTATAAACCCTCATACAGCATAGTCAACAAGCATTCCAAATGAAATCTGCAGCTCACAGTGTTGCGCTATGCAACATAATCAACTCATTGGCTGTGTGATGCAACTTCATTTCTTCATTATTTCATTCCTCTGAAGTAATATGCAACAGCTAACTACTGTCAGAAGAAGAAAACACAACTAAAAACCTACAAAAGTACCATACACACTCAGTAATATTTAATGAAGTTCTTAGAAAATCATTCTTTTACATCACTCAGTTGAGCTAACAATTTTATTACAACACAATTAACAACTTTATCATAAATTAAATCATCATTTCAGTCCACAGTTAATCATAACTGCTGCCCAAAAGATTGACATTCTCTGACTTAAAGGGCCACTATTCAGATGGTCACAGTTACTCAAACAGAAAAACAGCCCAGACACTGGATTCAACAGTATAGAACAGCTAAGACAGTTTAGTTAAGTAGCATGTGTGTGAAATAGGACATTTATAATAATTGTACCCAAAAATCTAACACTGTGTGTTGCATGATTTGGCTCTTCCCCGAACTTCGTCCCCATATTATGGTGGCCAAACAAATACCCTAACAAGGCCTTAGTCATGTGTAAAATGTGGAGTGCTTGCCGAGGAACAAATCGTGGCAAAACTATGATTGCCTCTGAATAACTGGCCAATATTATAGAGGGCAAACAAATACTCAGGGTCTTAGTGATATGTTAACTGTGGCCCTGTTTCTGCGACTATGCCACACCGCCGACAGTATCCCACACGCCACGCGGATGGGGGGGGGGGGCTAAACTAAATGGCTGGGACTCACGAGCAAATAAATTGGAGGAAGTTGCAGGAGATGCAATAGCTGCTGCTTGTGAGTCCCAGCCATCTAGTTTAGACCCCCAACTGCACTGCGCATAGCGGCGTGGGTGGTACGCTCGGCACAGAGTTTAATCGGAAGAACACTATCACTAACCTGCGTCAGAGCGCATGGTCTCCCGTCATGTCGCTATTACCGTGTGTATTGTTGCATTTCTCGAAATTGTCAACTGACAGTAATCCTAGTTTTTCCGCGATGTGTTCGTCGGAGGAAGTCCACTTTTACACACGTCTGAGGCCCTGTTAGGGTATTTGTTTGGCTGCCATAATATGGGGATGAAGTTCGGAGGAGAGCCTATGATTTTCTACAGTCACAACGAGCTAGGCAAAAGGCCCGTGCAAGATAGTATCTTAGATATGACGGCACAGGATTCAGGATACTCAAGGCCGAACTGATGAACTGAACGTGGCAAGATGGGAGGTTAGATCTTGTGGTCAGTTGTGAAACAGAGTCAAGGAATGCATTCTATTTGAAGCGTAAATGAGTTATTAGACAGTTTAACTGTGATCACTAAAAAAAAAATTATGCATATTGAAAAACAAATCCCCCGTGTGGGTTCCGGGGCCCTATTGTAGGGAAAACAAGAATAGACCCACTGCCTCCCCAAAAGCATGTCGTAAGAGTCGACTAACTGGGGAGCTTCCTTTGAAGTCGGAGTGCATCTGCCTGAGAGGCAAGGAACCAGCAGTCTGCATTCAATTGTCAAGACAGCCGGCGTAATGCTGACCACATTACAGAGTGCTGATGGTCTGTTAAAAAAAATATTGGCGCTCTTCCCATTTGCCCGATACGCCTAAAGGCGTGGAAAGAGATCTTTACTTTTATTTTTTACTATAATCATTACTATTCCATAATGTTACAACTCTACACATTACAGTCACACTGCTCACCTAGCGCCGCCATTGCCAAACATTAAAGAGAGTGACTGCCCTTAGCATTGAGAGCGGTTCTCATATGGATTGTGACGAAACTGTTTTTCCATTTAGGAGAGCCTCGTTCATCATCACCATCATAATAATCTTCTAATCTAAACCAGAGTTCCTCAAACTTTCTAGACACACGACCCACCAAAATAGTGGACAATGTTTAGCGGCCCACCAAAATAGTGGACATTGTTTCGCGGCCCATCTGACAGCTAACAAACACAAGGGGGGGGGGGGAGATGTAGATAACAGTCATTCGAGTGACCCACTTAAAAACGAAAGTAGAGATCGCTTAGTTACAAGATGGAGTCGGTGGTCCAAGAAAAATGGCTCCTTTGCGTATCCGTTACTTTGAAATCCCGTCGCTTAATACTGGCTGTTCAGAATCGAATATGTGGGCTCAAAGTTATTCAGAAAAGGTCGCTCAACCAATCGACACCTAACTTACATAGCGATCTTTGTTCAGCCAAATAAATTTCACTATTTGCCATGCGGGAAGTAAATTTCTTTAATATCTCCTTTTTAAAGTGAATATATATACTAGGAATTGTCATTTTTGGATTCTGCGTCCATTTTTTACATAAACATGGGCAGTTTTGCTGGAATCTGTACATCACAAAAATTTTAACTTTCAATTTCTTCCCGGTTACTTCTTTAAAGCTAAATCGGCGATTTTTCAAAATGGCTACCGCATGGCCTAAACAAACTGTTTATCTCAGATTAATTAATCTAGTTATTTATAAAAACAGTTCAAAAATAATGCAAGTTTTATTTGTATTAATAATTTACCTTTCTTTAACTTTAATTTCACATGAGTTTTAATAATTTTAAATACCTGAAAATAATGTTTTAGCACGTTTTTAACATAGACTATTTCTAGGGTATTTTGCGTTAAAAATAGACACAGACAGTGGTTTAAATATTTTATAATAATAGTTTTAAATGAATTTATAGTAGTTATTTAATCATTTTTTGAATCTTTAACCATTATAGCATTTTTTAAGCCATAACCTATCATTGGGCATGAACAACATTTTTTGTTTGAAGCCTTTTTACCTGTTGACCCCCACTCCCCGCACCCAGACTGACATTTTGGACGCAGACAGTGGTTTAAACATTTTATAATATACTTTTAAATGAATATATAGAAGTTATTTAATCATTTTTTGAATCTTTAGCCATTATAGTATTTTTTAAGCCATAAATTATCATTAGGCATAAATAAAATTTCCTGTTTGAAGCCTTTTTACCTGTGGACCCCCACTCCCCGCACCCAGACTGACATTTAAAAAAAATGTCTGCCACACATTTCTGCACTATGATTTTGTGGTGCATTTTTATTGTCTTAAATAGTATAAATAACAGTTATTATTTTTGACTGATACTGTTTTAAAATTGTAGTATTGACTTATAGATGATGATTTAGAAAGTTAATTAATAAAATTAATAATAATATATTATATTATTTTCAACTGAATAAATTCACTTACTTACAACTAATGATTAATAATATTTAATCACAGATCACGTAGGACATAGATAAGTTAATAAAATATAATGTAATTTTTCCTCTTACCTTATGAAATGCTGCTCCACGAAAACACAACATAAATCCGAAGCGAATTAGATCTCCATGAAAACACAACATAAATCCAAAGCGAATTACAAAGGAGCTTATTTAATAATTTTACTCTATGAAAAACATAGCACTGAGTCACAAATCGGGCATGAGCGGTTACCTTCAATTATTTTAAACAAGTAAATAAAATATCAAGCAGTGACTAGTTAAGAAGAAGAGGGGAACAATGTGGTGAAATGTCTCATCAATAAAATGAAAGAATAACTCGCAAAGATTGAAAAAGGGATTATGTTAAATCAGTAAGAGGGGCGCTCATTTTCACCTGGTTATAAAACAATATAGGAATATAGGGGTCTCCGTATCGAAGTGGTCAAGCCGTTAACCTCGCGCTCGGAAGATTGTGGTACGTTCATTAACAACTGCATTGTTCGACTCGAAAATGCATTTTTTTGGTTAGCGGAGACCTCTGAGGGCTGTTGCTGGGGCTACGGTATCCAGGCTTTGTGCTAAGCTCTCGGCATGCGTTATTTGTTCAGTATTGTGGAGAAAGACAAAGCCATATAAAATCAGTAACGATGCAATGAAGTCAATCCACTCGCTATTAAACATTTTTTAAACAGTGGAATAAAGCAAATTTCGGTCAGATATATGCACACACACAAACATACACACACACACACAAATGAGAGTGCGAGAAAAAGCATTTTTCAACAAATAGAAAAAGATGCATCATAACAGGAAGAATAGATACAAAAGAATATATATATATATATATTACAGTATACGTCTTGCAAGACTCACTGGATAATTAATAATAATTAATTCATAAGGTACTTAATGAATACTGATAAATTTACTCATTTTTTTGTTATTTAGGTTTGCATCACATCATATTTTTAAAAAGGCAACAACTTTAGTTAGAGCTTGCTGTCCTGAAAGCAATGACATATGGTTGCTAAGGGGTTCAGCAAAAAACTTGAGAGTTATTGACATTAAACATGATAAATTTAGGTCCAGTTTTCACTTGGGAACACGCCGCCATCTTGTTTCTGTGTTTTCCATTATAATTTTTTGAGGGCACTTTCCATCACTGAAATGGGAATATCTCCGCTTAGAATTGACATACAGACTTCATTGAGGTACCGTTGGACTCAGTTTTTCAACCC